TCAAGGGGAGGATACGGCCCACTTGCTATTTTCCTCTTAATTTAACCTGATTATCACTAAAATTAAGCATGTTGAAGGTTTTGACGCCCAGCGAATGGCGAATTTATTGAATTTAACCATGCCCTGCTAGAGGTGTTTAAATACGTTCCTTCCCGTTGTTTTGAATGTGTTATTAAGAATAGTGACATTTAGCGTCATTGTTTTGGGCGCTTAAGCATTTAATTATTTCTCATAGCCTGAAAATATTACATACATAGTTTTGGCTACCGGGTCAACTAAGACCAAGTCATCAGATAACGGTTGACCACAACTCAAGAAAAAAGCAAATGGTCGCGCTGCAGCTTTATCGTCAGTTCCATTGCTTTGAAACTTAATATTGATAACGGTGCCATGGTTACCCTGTCACCGGTGTATTAAGCATGAGTACATAGATTTTATACACAAATCTTGAATAATTCAGGCCGTAGTCACTAGCATACCTGCCTGTTCGGTTTCGGTGACGTGATCGTGTGAATTGTGTACCTTTTCTGAGGAAACCATTTGAATAAATTTGTTGTTTTGGGAGTATTTTTTTCGTAAAGTTCGGGAACGCTTAAACGAAACAATATAATTTGTATGCATAATATCAGTGGCGGATCCAGGGGGGGGGGGCAAAATGGGCATTTGCCCCCCCCCCAAACGGCATAATTTTAACATTACGCCTATGGACGATGCATGGAAAGAATCGATAAATTGTTATGGTTTGCCCTCCCCCCCAAAAACTCTGAGCTGGATCCGCCTCTGCATAATATTATCTCATAAATGCTTTTCAACTACCGTAAGTGTTTACATCATGATGGCAGCCAGCCTGCGCGTAATTTCTCGTGACGCCACTTGGTATTTATCGCCTTGGTAGGTATAACTTAATTCTTATATAACTATACCTCAAACTGATTCTGAAACACTGGCAGCGGGCTAAAAAAAAAAATTCGCGCACACCTGTGACACCTCTTGTGAAAAACTTGTTCTAATGCCTGCTACAACCTCCAACACCAGCTCCTCCCATCCGACTCGTTAATCTGTCCCCACCCAAAACGGACCCAAAGACCCCCCCCCCCCAACTCGACCCCTTCCCCATCCCCTACCCCCCGGGCCCCACTCCACGTGTATCCTAGATTCTCACAATCGGCCGTTTGCAGCATTCATGGCTTTCATGGTCCATTCTTTCACAAATTAACCAGCGTGACCTGGACATTTGACCGGACACAGTATTGTCGCATATCGCATACTGTGCAGTACATACCCGCTGACCCGAGAAGGACAGACAGATATAAAAGAAGCGCAGAGCTGCACAGTGGCACAGCTGAGGCTCCACTTCAGTACGACACAGTCCAAATAGTCGGTTTTGTCTAAACATCTCTCTTATTTTACCATGATGAGTTTCAGATCTGCTCTCATTGCCGTTCTTTTGGGTTCTGTTTTGATGTTAGCGGTAGAGGCTGGTCGAGGCTGCGGAAGAGGTCGAGGACACGCCTACGGCTGCCACGGAGGGGGAGAAAAAAGCAGCGAGGAGAGCGGCAGCAGCAGCGAGGTAACGTCATGTTCAGTGATGAACCATGTTTATGTATGAACTAATTGACCTGAACGTATTAGTCCCGCCAAGCAACAGCCACTGCTAATAAATCTCTAATTTGTGCACTGCTTACAGTATAAAAACTTCAAGTAATAATGAACTGCCTATATTTGCTATAGTTCACTGTTCAGCTCCATTGAATGAACATTCAGATCCTACCGTACCTCTTGGTGTGAGCATCCCGGAGCATGAGTGTGAGGCAATGGATAAGTGAGGTCACTCGCTCCATCTTTCTGCCACGGTCGATAGAAACTATACTGTGACTAATGTGTTAAATTGGTATTGTTCATCCATCCCTTCTAATTGGGACCTTCCAACAACCATTATGCATACTCACATTGCAATGATGTATATAAGTAACATTACGGCAGATTTGCTCCTTTTCCTTGAAAAAATTATTGGGCATGTATGACAAACACAATATATGTATTTGTTTCAGGAGGCCGCGTGCAATTATAATGACACCAAGTGTAGTGGCGCGACCATAATCAGGGAGGGTCGTTCTCAAAACAAAGCATGTGACTTTTCGGTTTGAGCAGCGACTAATTTAATACTTTTGTGTCAATTTGTTGACACACTTTGTTTTGTTTAGTTTTGTTTGAGTAATTTAAATTGTTTACATAGAATCTTCAGTTGTGGGAAAGGTCATTCTCTTAAAATCACTTGAAACTGTATTGTCTCACACTTTGATAAAATTGTCGTAATGTTACCTTTGATTTGATTGGTTTGGTGCAATATCAAGGAATATACAGGAAGACTAGAAATCAGTGCGTTTTAAAGACCGAATCGACCCAGAAGATTCTACAGTTTTAAGAGAAGACATGTCAACTCCAAGCCGTTCGTTGTCAGACTTGAGACGCAAACGGGGACAAGAGCTCGCCGCTTTGAACAGGATAAGGCGGAGAGGGATTGTTTTGCTGGAAATTAGTGCCACTCGTGGGGAGATGTGGGCGATACTTAAGGAGCTAGACGATGCTTTAAAAAGGTTGCAAGATGCCAACTGGAATTACTTCGACCGTATTGCGGGAGACGAATTTGAAAGAGAGCGTGCTGAACGCTATGAGCAAGAAGCAGCCGATAAGTGCACCGAATTGCAGGACCTGATCCTTGCCAGATTACAGGAAGGGCGGAATCAGGGTCACGTCAGTGATCAAGGAGCGGAGGCAAGACCTGCTGCTAGATCGGAGTCCAATTTAGGAACATCCTATGCATCAGTAAAATCCGATTCGAAAGGTTCTCGCCAGCAAAGACAAATCGACGAGGGAAGCAGTACAGACGACGAACAAAGCGAGCGAATGATTCCGCACCGAACAAACGACAGACGACAGATACGATATGAAGCTCAAACTACCACATGTAAACGAAGCTTCGAACGAATGGACGAAGGTAGATCATGTCCCACATCTCTCTTTCGAAGCAGTTTGCCTCATTTGCAGCTGGAAACATTTAACGGCGAAATTTCGGATTGGCCGAGGTGGTATTCGCTATTTAAATCCTTAGTTGACGATCAACCATTGTCGAATGACGAAAAAATGGCCCACCTACAGAATGCAGTGACAGGACTGGCGCGTCACACCATTGGAGGCATGTTATTCGACGGAAACTTGTATCTGGACGCAATTGCTGCATTAAGGGATCGCTTTGGTCGGGATGAGGACATTGTCTATGCCAACTTATCTCGAGTGTTCTCTGCCCCACCTCCGGTGTACCTGGACCCGGCAAGCATGGAGAAGTTTCACGGGTCTGTTCATTGTGCTGTGACGGTACTGCGAAATATGGGATACGATGGAGATCTGCACTCGACGGAAAATTTGCGCCGTGCTGTTCAAAAACTTCCGTCACAATTAAAACGTGACTGGGGTGAATACATTATTGACATCCAGAGGCCAAATCTAATACATTTTGATGTATGGTTGCAAAAGCAGGTTCGCATTGCCCTAAATTATGCCACCGTGACAGCCTCAAGTAGTAAGCGGCCAACAGTCATCAGTGAGTCACAGCAGGAATATAAAAATTTGAGAAGCACACTGACGACCGAAGCGTTCGAGTCCACGTCAAAGGTCTGTTCATGTTGTGGCAATGGTATGCATCAGTTGAATGAATGTTTTGCCTTTAAACAGATGGATGCGGTAGCAAGAAATAAGTTTGTTTTCGGCAATAGACGCTGCTTTTCGTGCCTACGAAAGGGTCACTTAGCTAGATTTTGTAAATATAAAGTAAGTTGTGGTATTGCTGGCTGTAACCAAAATCATCATCAAATGTTACATGATGAAACGCAAGGGCTGCGTAATGTCAAGCAAGAAGATAGATCGGTGGCTCTTGTGCAGAAATCCCCGCAGACTTTGCTGCAAATTGTGCCGGTGCGCGTTCACGGACTTGAGGGGCGCACCCGGGATACATTGGCCTTATTAGATCCCGGGTCACAAACATCTTTGTGCGCAGACGCTGTTGTGCGTGATCTGCTTATTCCTGGAGAAGAAACTCAACTGTTCCTTAAGCACATAGGGGGCACGGCACCCCCGCAGACATCACAAAAACTAAGATTGGTTTTGAGCCCGCTCTCAGGCGAAGAACAGCATATAGTTGTCCCTGAAGCATTTTCTGTACCTGAAGTGAATATAAGAACGCCAATATTAACGGCGAATGCTAGACAACTTTGGCCGCATCTGGAGGGAATACCCATACCAGACTGCAGTAACGGCACAGTCGAGCTTCTTCTTGGCGCCAATGTGCTCGAAGCCTTATTGCAGCGGGAGGTCAGAGTTGGTCGCGCGGGTCAGCCGGTAGCCATCAGAACGGCGTTCGGTTGGACACTGACTGGCTCCGTCTCAGAATTTGTTCCTGGGTATGTAAAAGAAGTGATGTATATTGAGCGCCCTGACCCAGAGTTTGAGCTCGTAGAATTTGTTAAAGAATGGTGGTCGACCGAATCCTTCGGCTCGAAATATGCCACAAATGAAAGCCGTTCAAAGGACGATGATTTAGCTCAGAATTTACTGGAGAGAAATACAAAACAATGCGGAGACCGCTACGTGGTTGGACTCTTGTGGCGAAATCCAACGGTGACCATGCCTGATAATAAGAAAATGGCCTTGAGCAGACTGAAGTCGCTCGAAAGAAGTCTGCTTCGTCAGCCCGATAAGGCAAGCTCATATCAAGAGACAATAAATAGCTACATTGAAAAGGGACACGCGAGAAGGGTGCGTCCGGATGAATTACTGACTAATAACCCGAAACGTTGGTATTTGCCGCATCATGCAGTGATGACTCCCAACAAACCCAAATTGCGGGTTGTTTTCGACGCTGCTGCAAGTTTTTTCAGGTAAATCTTTAAACAGCGAGCTTTTAAAGGGTCCAGACCTACTACAGAATCTTGTCGGAGTCCTTCTCAGATTTCGCCAGGAGAAGATTGCGTTAGTGGCCGACGTGGAACAAATGTTCCATCAAATCCGAGTTCGCGAAGACGATCAGCCTGCCATGAGCTTCCTTTGGCGGAATATGAATTTATCGCAAGAGCCAAATGTATATCAAATGAAGGTTAGTATTTTTGGCATGAGATGTAGTCCTGCAATCGCCAGTTACGTGCTGCAAAGAACAGCGGAAGACCATGGTAAGGAGACAGCAGTGTCAAAAGCTGCCGTTTCAGCGGTGCAACACAATTTTTACATGGATGACTTCCTAAAATCAGAGTCCAGCATTTCTGCGGCGTGTATTATGCGTTCGGAGGTCACAAAACTGGTGGCCCGCGGAGGATTTCGTCTTACTAAATGGATGAGCAACGACACCCGAGTTCTAGAAAGCATCGATGTCTCCGAACGCCTTCACCCAGACGCCGATTCACGGAGTTTAGATACGTTCCGGGAGCGCGCTCTTGGCTGCGCCTGGATTCCAGCCAAGGACGTCGTTGGCATTTACTCTCGAGTGAGTGTGACATCTCTTACAAAGCGGGGAATGTTACAAGGTATGGCGTCAGTGTTTGACCCATTGGGTATGGTTTCTCCATTTATTTTGAAGGCGAAGGTCCTCATACAAAGACTTTGGACTCTTAAGTACGCTTGGGACCAGAAGCTAAGAAGCCCCGAGTTGGAGGAGTGTCAGCTTTGGTTTGAACAGGTTACACATTTGCCGGATATCGCAACCCCAAGGTACTTTAAGGGAGCAGGAAGTCATGAGACAGCACGAAGGGAGCTTCACGTTTTCTGCGATGCCAGTGAAAATTCCTTCGCTGCCGTTGCTTACATTCGTGCAGTAGTAAATGGCGGAAGTGCCTATAGTTCATTTATCATGGCGCGTACGAGACTGGCGCCACTCAAGCAGCTGACGATTGTCAGATTGGAGTTGCAGGCTGCTGTCTTGGGCGCTCGGTTAGCAGACACTATCAAGCGGCAGATAACTTACAAATTTGACCAAACGGTTTTCTGGAGTGACAGCAAAGTGGTGATCAATTATATCCGCAACGAAAGCCGTCGCTTCCATACTTTTGTAGCAAATAGGATTTCCGAGATTCAGCACCTTTCAAGATGGGAAGACTGGCGTCATATATCGGGCAAAAACAATCCTGCAGATATTGCTTCACGTGGCACAACCCTGATCAAGCTCAGAGATTCGCGTTTATGGTGGCAAGGTCCTAGTTTTTTGGAGCAGAATCAGGATGACTGGCCAGATCAACCTGAAGGCAGTCCTGTTTTGGATCCAGAGGATATGGAGGTGAAGAAATCGCCGATACTGATAGCAGCTATTTCTGAGCATGTTCGTCTCAGGCTATTGGACTCGCAGAGATTCTCCTCTTGGCTGAAGTATAGAAGAACTATGGCGTGGATATTTCGATTCGTTGGGAATATCCAAGCTAGGGTAAGGGCAGGCCTGCGAAGTACCTGGGGCTCCCTGTCGAGTGCAGAAATTGAGAGCGCAGAAGCTTTCATCCTGCGGGAAGACCAGGCCGAGGGTCAGAACAGCCCGAAACATATGTCACCGTTCATCGACCAGCACGGCGTCCGGCGCGTTGGCGGTCGCCTCTGTAACGCCCCAATAGCCTACATGTCCCAACACCCGGTCATTTTGTCACCGGGTAGCGATATAACCCGGCTTATCGTGCGTGATATTCACGAGAAGCTTTTTCATTCGGGCTTGAATCACACTCTGAATGAGTTCAGGATGAAATATTGGATGGCAAAGGCCAGGGGAACAGTTAGAAAGCTTATCAACCAGTGCATTTTCTGCCGCAACAGACGAGCTTGTCCGAGAGCTCCACTGATGGCCAGCCTTCCGGAAGTGCGCTTCGACCAGAGCCGCCCCTTCAGTGCTATAGGAATAGATTTTTTTGGACCACTTCAAGTCCGCAAGTTTCGTAGAACAGAAAAACGATTCGTTCTGCTTATTACTTGTTTGGCTACGCGCGCGCTGCACTTAGAGGTGGCTTGCGCTATGGATACAGACGCCTTTCTAATGGCGTTACGCCGTTTCATAGCGCGGCGGGGAAAACCGAAAATTATCTACTCTGACCGAGGAACCAACTTTGTCGGCGGTGAAAGAGAACTTCGTGAAAACATCGAACGCTGGAATCAAGCTCAAATTACTGACCAGCTTAGCCAAAGTCAAATTGAATGGCATTGGAACCCTCCGGCTGCCCCTCACATGGGTGGAGTGTGGGAACGGCTGATAGCATCCGTCAAGAGGGCGCTCAGGGCTGTGCTCGGAAATCAATTTGTTACTGACGATGTTCTTTATACTGCTCTTGTGGAAGTAGAATACATGCTTAACGGCAGGCCGTTAACATACGTCAGCACTGACGAGCGAGATCCTGAGGCATTAACACCTAACCATCTTTTGCTGGGATATAGCTCAGACAAAGGCGCAGGGCTCCCGCCGGGCGTCTTTGGAGAGCATGACCTGTTGAGCAGGCGACGCTGGCGTCATTCCCAAGCGCTCGCTCAGCACTTCTGGAAGCGATGGCGAAAGGAATATCTGCCAACTCTTCTTGCCCGGCAGAAATGGCTGAATGAAACTGACAACATGAAGGTCGATGACGTTGTCTTGATTGTCGATGAAAACACTCCGAGAGGACATTGGCCCCTTGCAAAGGTTACAGCGGTTCATTTAAGCTCCGATGGGAAGATACGTTCGGCTGATGTGAAAACCGCGAGCGGAACATACAAACGTCCTGTGCATAAGCTCTGCCTTTTGGAATCATCACGGCACAGATGAAACGTGGTCGTGGTCGCTTGGCCATTGTTGAAGTGGACCTGTCGTCCCACTGGGGGGAGTGTAGTGGCGCGACCATAATCAGGGAGGGTCGTTCTCAAAACAAAGCATGTGACTTTTCGGTTTGAGCAGCGACTAATTTAATACTTTTGTGTCAATTTGTTGACACACTTTGTTTTGTTTAGTTTTGTTTGAGTAATTTAAATTGTTTACATAGAATCTTCAGTTGTGGGAAAGGTCATTCTCTTAAAATCACTTGAAACTGTATTGTCTCACACTTTGATAAAATTGTCGTAATGTTACCTTTGATTTGATTGGTTTGGTGCAATATCAAGGAATATACAGGAAGACTAGAAATCAGTGCGTTTTAAAGACCGAATCGACCCAGAAGATTCTACACCAAGGAATGTAATGGTGAGTACCTATGAATGTGGGTCACAAACGTAATGTCAAGTGTCGCTAGTACGCAGAGGTAATGGTTTTGCGTTGATGCTGGTTCATACTCCACAACATTCGGTTAGAATGTGTTTGTCCTCTGGTGACAGACATAAGCCGGTTATATTCAAGCTTTCATTCAAAATCAAAGTTATGCGCCGTTTATCTACCGGTGGTTGTACCTACGGGCAAGATTACTTTACTAATACGGGAACTAATACAGGCACAGGTAATACATGTACATACTAATACAGACCTAAAGGTACCCGTTTTCAAGAAAATCCCTCTTATCTCCTATAAGGCTACTATGTATAGTCCGTTACAAAGTTTACTTATCTTAAATTGTTTTTTTATTATCAATGCTCGTCTCTTGCATCTTCGCTAAGGCCTTCACAGACGGACCAAGGCCATATAACAGACGGACTACACACACACACACACACACACACACACTCACACCCCCCCCCCACACACACACACCCCACACACACACAAAGTTATAGCTCATGCGTACCCCTGTTCCTTTTCAGATAACGACGCTGACACGTGCGTTTGTCCGGAGGGGTTCACCCTCTGCGGCGGCAGCTGCTGGCGCTACGAGAACTCCTCTCTCATCTCCTATGCCGATGCAGTGTCGCTCTGTGCCGGCCTGGGTGCCGAGGTGGCTCTCCCCACCTCCGCTGCCGAGAACCAGTGCGCTGAATGTGTGACGTCCAGCTCCCTGGGTGCCTGGATCGGACTCCGGGGCACCACGACGCTGGACTCCTTCGTCACCTCTGACGGCTCTGCTCCAGCCTACACCAACTGGCATGAAGATCAGCCAAACCTTAGCGGATGCGAGCCGTATAACTGCGATAACTGCGCGTATGTTTCTGCCGCCGATGGCAAGTGGTATGTTTACCGCTGCGATTTCATCTATCTTACCCTTTGTCATACGCGGACCTGCTGTGCTTAGTTGGACTTGGGATAACGCTTCCGAAATAATGACTCTTCTTTGGTGTCCTTATGGGATATTAATGTCTTTAACATATATCTATATCTGTAGATATCTTGACTGAAAGTTGGATGGCAAAAAATTGTGTAGCCCAATTTCGTCTAATACTTTTTTTACTCATCTTCTTTTACATTTGTCATTTAACGTAATCAGTTTGGCTGCTCACAGAATAGCCACATCTTGAATCTATTTCTTTTTACCATTAATGTAAAAACTGCACTTCTGGGTAACGTTGTCATTACATATCTATAAAGGAAGCCCCTAATGTTGCATAGGACAAAAAAATGACATGCGATCTAGCGACGATGATATATGGAGAAGAGGAAGAGAAAGGAGGGAGGAGCAGTGAAAGGAGGAGATGGGAAAGGGAAGAAGACTAGAAAAAGAAGAAGACCATGAAGAAAGGGCGAGGAAGGAGGAGTAGGAGATTGGAAGTTTTTTTTTGCGACGGGGACTTACACCTGTTGTCTGCTATGTAGTTTGACGTCTTTTTCTTTCGCCTTCCTTACCTACCCTATACTACCTACATATATGCAGTTTAGTTTGGCGGTGGTAGTTTTTTTCGCGTTTGTGTCGGTGCACGGGTTAATCAATGTTACATACCAATGGTGCTTGCGTCTCGAAAATGTTTTATTCATGCCATTTTGGTCGTAGTTTGCACTTGCAATATATCAAATATGCACTTTATGATGACTTTTCCATATTTTGGTTCCGACTGTAATGCCTATCTTTTGATCTTAGCTCACTAACGCGTTATCTGGAATTATAACTCGTCGGGCAGCGTGCCAATTAGTTATCACATGGTATGAGCTCAAGCCATGTGGAGCCGGGGCTGTTTAGAACGGTTCACGTCATCAAGAAGCGGACGCGGAGAGGAGACGATAACGTACCTGTCTGCCCCCTAGCAGCCGCCTAACTGATACAAAATGATAAATATGCATGAACCAGATGGATGACTAAGTAAGATGAACAAATACTTGATAACAAATAACCAAAAAATGAGTATCATGGGTGCAGCTTTGCAAATGGTTGGTGTGAAGAAGGCACCGCCAAACACACTAATAGCCGTTTTCACGACGGGTCTTTTGGCGAATGCACCAAACTTGACCAAAGGTGCACCAAGTTTCTTTTACAATAAACACTTGACATCATGAAGTTGTTCCAGTTTTTTTTTAATCGAAAACAATGCCTGATGATTTAAAAACCAAGCATATACCCGTAAATAGCAGTGTAACCCAAGCTGACGACCATTAAAAACAAAATGATGCGGATTTGACAAAATCTACAGAGAATCTGCACCAAACGTGAATCAAATGTGAGCCATAGGGGAAAGTGGGTGTATTGCGCCCTCCTAACCAATTGCGCCCACCAACATTCCCACGGATTTAATGGCATGTGTAGAATTTTGTGTTCGAAAACATTATTTTCACCACTGGATTGTTCATTTTATGGCTCAAACACTCCGATGAAGCCAATCAGCAAGGCTCATTACGCCATCAAAGATGTTATGGCGTTTTCTTAACTTTTTTGCAGTATTTTGAACCGTTGGCTATAAAAATTTGCGATATTTGAGTGATTTTTAGAGTGATATTTAGATAGAAAAGCCCTTTTTTCATTGTATTTCACTGAAACCGTAAACTTCCTGCAACATCTTTATGATAACTTCTATGCTTTTATTAAAAAGTACCTCAATTTTAATTGCGCCCATGGCAATTGCGCCAGGGGGGCGCAAATAGAATAATGGTGTAGCCATTGTATCACGACAGTATGAATGCATCATTAATTAACTGATTGCAATTAAGAAGGAGTTTAATGTCAGGCAAGGGAGCAGCTCGCTGTCGTCAGTCCGCAAATTATTTCTATCGTCAAACTTATAATGCAGCTGCCATTTGGGCTACGACTTGTGGTGTAATTGACAAAATACGACATTTTCTACATGGACTCAGGCGTGAGAAGTGACAGCTATGATAAAAAGTAAAAACTGATGCCATATAAAAATTCAAAACGATAAGAATTATTAATTTTGAGAGCAACGAGTGAAAATTTAACTGGATAGGCGCATACGTTCACATATATCTAGTCGGTTACAGTAAACGTTTTCGTTGCACTTTTACAAGCGTACAGACACATGTAAAGTTATCTACGTGGGCAAAAAACATCGCGATGTATATCTACATTCATTATTTACCCAGCCTGAATAACATAATAAATGTTTAAGTAAGCCGCAATGACATTAGACTGCCGGGGTGTATGTATTCCGTCTCATTCACTTAGCCATGTTAAAGTATAGGGCGCAATTGGGTTCTAATTGCGCCATCCCCCTGGCGCAATTTACAGCAGTTGTTGGCAAATGCGCCCTTTTGCATGTTTCTGAAAAAGCAGCTGTCAGAAGCAAACAAAACATTATTTATTGATCGGGAGGCTCTTAAATCGTAGCCAATGAGCTCCTCTTTGAGATGGTTACCAGTGCATGCTTATATCTCCAGCGGTTTTCTTACAATTAGCGTTTTTCCTTAAGGTGGCGCAATTCACCCTCCTTCCCCTATAGCCGTCGTGAAACCTAAGCCTTCCCTGTCCCCTGGCCAGAAAGTAACTATTAGGGAAGTCGATGCCAATTGCCAACAAATTTTAAAGATTTTCTTTTTGACTGCTCAAAACGCATCAACGGTAAAATTCTGTAAATTGCTTTGCCAAATCCTTTATGCAAGATGGATCTTTTGACACAAATCACATGTTGAGGTCAGGCCTACTTTTATAAGACATCATAGCTTAGCCTCTGCACTATAAAGATTGCCGCAACTTTATAACGTTATCAGTGCCAGGGAATCTTAAGGCCTGGCTACACTATGCGTTTTCTTCGTGCGTTTTTTGCGTGTTTGCGTGTTTTGCGTGATATCGTTCTAGAACGATATCGTTCTAGAACGATATTACGTTTTTTGTGATGTTTTTCACCTTAAATTTTAGTTACATAAGAGTTATATTAGCTTTTGTATATAACCAAAGTAAAAATTATATTGCTTATAACTTTTTTCCTAGAACGATATTACGCAAAACACGCAAACCTGCAAAAACGCACGCAGAAAACGCATAGTGTAGCCAGGCCTTTACACTGGAAACCGAAACTTTCAGGAGGTAATGCACACATACATTGCACTGCCGCAGTACATGTTGATGTAAAACTATGACTTCAGGGGAATAACTTAACCTTCCAGGCGGGGGGGGGGATATTTCTTTGCCCTCCTTTAGTTTTTTCGACATATCTCCAGAACCTTTGCGCTGATCGTCACCAAACTTTCAGTACCCTCCCGTGAATAGCTTTTGCACATTGTGACCAAATTTTTTTCCAAAGGCTATGATAGTTGGCCGCTAATGACGTTGGAGTGACGTCATTTCTGCCATTTTCGACCAAAAAAAGGCTTCGCGGGAAGAGCTGTCAGGCCTACAGCTTTAGAGATACATAAAAATGCTTAGACATAAAAGGTCTAGAATTAACTGGGCTACAAAACTGCTATCTCGGATTTATTTTTTTATTTTGACCCCAAAAATAATTTTTTTTTAATTATAATTTTCAAAAAATCCAAAAACTTTTTTGAATTTCGAAAAAAACCCGACTATATGTGATAGTCCCTACCGCCTTCTATCTACATACCAAATTTGAGATCAATACCTCTTTTTTTGGCCAAGTTATAGCGGAAAAACTGTTCAAAATTGATGACGTCAAATTTTCAAACTCAATTTTTAGCAATTCTAGCCCTCGTAGCGCAAAACAAAGACCACCATTAGACTCCCCGTGACGAGCTGCATCGAATCAATACCCATTTTATGCAAAATAATCAGCTTTGAAATTTGACCTTTTTTACCTGACCTTGACCTGACCTCCACCAGAAAGAGACCTAAACCGTACCTGATGGTCTTCTTACCAACACCGTTTAGTTGAAATGAAAAATTGGCCATAAAACATGCATCGCACAGCCTTAGTAAAGTTGTGTTCATTTGGTGACCCTTGGTGACCTGACCTGTGACCTGACCTGGCATGATCACTGATCAGTGACCTCTAATAGCAACATATGTACTAGGCAACTGACGCCCTATCGCTGATTTTAGACAAAATGCGTTTTACTCGGTGTTACGAGTATAGCGCATTCCCTAGAAGACCCGTGAACGGTGAAACATTTTATCTTTGACCTGACCTGTGACGTCATCGGTGACCCCGAGGTCAATGAAATTTGGTTTCATTAACATAATTTTGGCAGGGCTATCGAACGTCGTTTGAATTTTCCGGATCCGTCCAATAGTTTCGGAGATACGGGGGGGGGGCAACCCCCCCCCCGCCGCGCGGAAGGTAGCCGGGAGGCCCACCGCCTGCCGGGTTAAAAAGCCCCCTTACCAACATATGGGCCGCCTAAGCTGCATCCGCTGAATATGTTGGCCTCGAGCACGTCACTATTGTGGCATGTGTCATCAGCGCCACCGGCTCGTAGTCACATCATACCACTTTGTGTCTCTGCTGGTCTCCTTATTCATCCCCGTGGAGCTCATGGAACCCTGAATAAACCCAGACGACCCACGAACTCCGACGCCTTGCGCATAGCCGTCGTGCATGCTCGGCCAGCTCCGTCAGTCGTCAGGTCACGCCGGCGTGGCTGTCAGCGGCTCTGCAGTTTGCTCCCCTTTGTCCGCGCGCGGCGCTCGGGTTTGCACCTCCAGTGCGGCTGCACCGAGCTTCGTGAGTGCAGCTGTACCCGGGGGCGGCGCCTATTGATCGTGGCCCGGTGCAGGCGCACCGAGCGACCGTCGCCAGCTGGCCACCCTCAGTCAGCTGGTGGAGCTCGCAGCAGACGGCAGCACCGCTCCGGCCGACCCGCGGGTCCCGCACAGGTAGGTGGGGGAGACGGAGTGATCCGAACGGGTCTTCTCGGCTTGGGATTGGCAGGCATCGGATAGGAGTGTGTTTTCATTTAGGTAAATCCCACAACGGCTGCTCTCAAAGAGGTAGCGGAGCCTGAGCAGAATCGGGGCCGGGTGACGTCATCACCGACCTTCGATCGTTGTGTTTATGCATTGCCGCCCGGGGATGAAGCTGCCTACTTCCCGGGGAAACCCCTCCATTGCCGGAAGCCGAGCTGCGCGATGGGTGAACTGTTTCACAGAAATGTCATTCGCAACTTGTTGCAACATATATTTCGGAATTTGGTGCGGTTCGTGAATTTGAATTGGGTGTACCTTTAGGCCTAAGCTAAGGGCTTGGACGAATTATAAGGCCATCGTCGTATATACTGCAGTTGGGGAAAAAAGGAGTGCTCGTTGTCCCGGAAAATACAGAAACCCTAGTTTTTCTTTTGTGACCGACTGGTTTCCAGTCATTGGAAACTTATGACAGTCGTTCGGATCAACCGATTAAAAGATAGGTATCGCAATATTCCTCGCATACCATGCGGATGACGGCTATGGACAAAGGCTGCTCTACATGTTGAATTAACAGTGGAGTGCCTGGCATTGCAATGGTCATTGGTAATGGTCACTATTGTGCGATGCGAGTTCATCTTAAATGTTTTTTTTTTGTGAATTTCTAACCAGCTTCGGCTCGGACCTCACGAGGTGTTTGAACACCTCATGAGGTTTTTGGCAGATACAGTACACCTTTTGATGCATCTTTTCTGCACATGTAAAATTTCGGACCTAGGTCAGGTCACCAGATCATGTCAAAAAGTGACATAACCTCAAAAAGTTTTCATGCTCGTCACAGCTGCGCTGACTACTTTGAACCGTTGCTTTGAGACGTTCAAAGATTGTTGTGACAGAATGTACCTATAAAACGCATAGATATCTCTTTTTTTGTAGCGGTGATCTGTCAGGTCAAGTTCGCGACCTTGCTATTATAAGAAAATGGGAGACATTGAACTGCGACTTTTTTGTGGGAGCTAACGCTCTAAAACGTCGTGTAACAGGGTAGTAATGTATATTGAGCCGGAAAATTGCACCCATGACTCATCTCGGCGGTCATGGATTTTGGATAGCAGTTTTTCGACGGTAACTTTCGAATTTCGATGGAGACAAAAACACCTTAATTGTGTTCAGATTTGCAATGCCGATCGACTGCTATTCAACGTGACCTTTTCCGGCCAGGTCATATCCTTGCCCTCAGGTCAAATTTTCAGATTTACTTTGAGGTCAAATTGTAGTTTATTTAACGCACCTCGACGAGAGAAACACGATGCTTGTAAAATAAACGTAATACAAGATCGGTGTCAAAGGCAAATGTAGAAAAAGAAGGTTTTTCAATTTGAGAAGTTTTTGTTATCTGGAGGCTAAACCGTTGACCTTAGGTCAGTACCTATCTGAGGGCACTCTTCTGAGGAACAAGATCACAGTTAGATTTACTTTTGTTTGTTTGTTTTGTTGGGTTAGGCCCTTTCGGTCGACAAGACCATTGCAGAGCCGGAAGGATGATAGGAATTAGGGGGAGACATTGGTCTGGGCAGGCACCCTAGTGAGTCGCCGGGGCTGAGCCCGTCCAGAGGACAGGCCACCCAGCCCCAAGGCACTCACTGCACCCGGCTACGGGGCGCGCTCCCTCGGGAGCAGCGGTGCCGCTCCAAGGGAGCAGCCCGCATGAGATAAAGTTGCCTGTCCAGCCCGGAGGGGGGTTGCGGCGTGGAGGAGAAGGATTTCAGTATCCTGAGGATAGAAGCACGGAACGGTGTGAGATTTACTAGAGAAATTCATACCTCTATGCTATTACGAAATGTCCTTGCTGGCAGTACCATGACTGGTCGGCCAGTTGCATGCGTTTGGTCATCGCCTTGGTCCACCAGATGGCTCAGCCTGCTTCATGGTACGGCGTTGCGCAAAGCCGCGCGGCTCGGTAAAAAGCGGCTGGTGTTGGTGGTTCGCTGTCAGTGGCGACCGGGACTGCTTTGTCGGGTTGGTGCGGCCCTCGGCCGGGGAGGGCAGGGGAGGGGGAAGTCTGAGTCACCAGCCGGTGGGTACCGTTCCGGCCGCCGTGTCTGTATGTCTGTGTGTGCCGGGTGTGTGTGTTTGGTTCGGCCGTCGCCCGTTGTCAGCTGTGTGGACGGCCGACGAGCTTTGTACCGCGGCCGGTGCTGACGGCGTCACGTTACCTGACTGGTGGCGCTGGCGTCAGCGTGACGTCACTGCACCTGGCGACGGCCCGGGTCGGTGACGGCGGCGGTGTGCCTGGCCAGGTGCCGCCCTGATGTTGCGTCAGTGACCCGTAACGGGATGACGTCAGAGATGTGACGGTAATACCTACCTACCCCCGGGGAGAACTCAGCTGCGTCACTGGGTAACATCAAATCACATCACATAGCTAATGATAAATCTCCGCATACCCATCAGCCGTTTCCTGTTTCCATCAGCCGTCACTGCCGCTCCCGTCGCAATGCAGCGCGGCGTGACAGCGTGCCGTCACGTTCCACCGGCCGCGTCACGATGTGCGCCGTCACGCGTGACAGTGGCGTTACTGCCTGCAGTGTCGAACCGTCACTGGAATTTATCAGCTCTGTTATGACTTGCCGGTACGATGCACAATGTGCACATTCAACCAAAGGCAACCAGCGCAGAGTGACGGAGGTAGGACGTCTAAACTCACAGATGACGAACTTGATATTCACTAAAAGTCAGGAAACGAGTTTTTCACTTTCTTATACGTGTTCTTGGCGTTTAAACGTGTCCGTGTTCATGGGATAAAGTTGCCCGTCCAGCCTATAACTGGGGGTTGAGGCGTGCAGGAGAGGGATTTGACTATCCTGAGGATGGAAACAACGGAACGAAATTCGCACAACTCAGGCTACTGCCACTGGATGACAGGCTTGGATGACAGTGGATGACAGTAGCAATGTTGATCGACCCGGACGTTAGGGTACAGTGGGTGTGAATGGGTCCGAGTCTTGCGATCAATACGTGGCAAGGAGTTGTCACAATGTCACAGGGGGGGGGGGGGGGTATAGTGTTACAACAGGGAATTGTCACAGTGCTCGGCTGTGGTAGACGGGACACCGGGCTCCAGTGTCGGCTGGGCCTGACAGACGGCTGTCGGCTGTGTCCCGGACAGCTACCCCATATATCGCTCACTGCCACTCGTCCGGAGTTGGTTTGTCAGGAGCGCTAGCCCGTCCCCAGAGAAATACCGGCACATGTCATGTCAGTCACATGTCAGTACCTACTGGTGACATGTCAGTGACATGTCAGTACCGGCGGCGGTGAGAGGCGGTGAGAAGTACTCAGCTGGATGCGCGTCGGGCTCAGAGGCAAACTCTTGCTCAGTAGAGCGTATTTTGTATCCATTGTATCGTTACGCAGTATCTGTGCAGACATCAACGGACGCAGCAGCGCAGCTGTCGGCTCCAAGCTGCTGTCCCCGCCCTATAGTCTCCTCACAGTGTTCGGTGCATGGTCGCCAATTGACTGTCCACTTGTCCAGTCACTGTCCTGACTAACTATCCATGTAGCCACTAGACGAGTTGCCCCATGGGTCAGCCGCTGCCCATCATGTTGGCTGTATTATTCCGCAGCCTTTTATGCAGAGCGGCCCGTGCCGGCCAGGCATCCCTGAGGCGTCCCCAAGGCCGCTGCTGTCGCTTAGAGTGCAGGAACAAAGAGAGACGGCGGTACGACACGCGGGCTGGGCCGGCCGATTTACCGGTAGGCTACTCACGGTCACTGACCGCGATCAGCAGCGTTACTATGGTTAGGGGATGAGGGTTACTATATTATCTGGAAAATTGTTTCTGATCGCTAGTCAATAGGTGCATACTGATCGATGTCGGTGGTCGGTGGCAGCTATCGGTAGTTGTAGTCAGTAAAGCAGTAACTAGTTAGGGCAACTAGGGCAGAAGCCACAAAGTCAATGTTTCGTCTCGTCTCTTTTCGTCTCTTTTCGTCACGTCACGTCACGGTCACTCACTCACTCACTCGTTCACTCACTCACTCACTCATTCGCTCACTCACTCGCTAACTCGCCCACTCACTCACTCACTCACTCACTCACTCACTCACTCACTCACTCACTCACTCACTCACTTACTTACTTACTCACTCTCTCTCTCTCTCTCTCTCTCTTTCCCTCTCTCTCTGTCTCTCTCTCTCTCTCTCTCTCTCTCTCTCTCTCTCTCTCTCTCTCTCTCTCTCTCTCTCTCTCTCTCTCTCTCTCTCTCTGCCCCTCCCTCCATCTCTCTCTCCCGACTCTCCTGCACGACTCCTTCTAAGAACGACCGGCCTCTGGCGGCGCGGAACGTCCCACAAACAGTCATTACACCACCAGCCTTCCACTGCACTGTGTCGACGAACCCCGGGCCGAACAGAGGCACACACAAGGGCACGCCCGCGGCGCTCAGGTGCCTGGGCCGCGGCTGTTTTGTCAGCGACCACGCAGTGTCGTTTTTGTGAGTGAGATGGAGGACGCCATGCTGCTGCCCGCCGGACTGGCGCCTTCTCTGTTCACGCTGTTCCGGGTTAGCAATGTATGCCCGGAACCTCGCTGTTCCGGGCTAGCGCTGTATGGCCGGAGCTATCTCACTGTTCCGGGCTAGCGATGTATGGCCGAAGCCTACTCACTGTTCCGGGCTAGCAATGTATGGCCGAAGCCTACTCACTGTTCCGGGTTAGCAATGTATTGCCGAAGCCCACTCACTGTTCCGGGCTAGCAATGTATTGGCTGGACTCGGAGGCATCTCGCTGTTGTGAGCTGGCAATGTATGGTCAAACTTCTGGTCGGTTGATGGTTGCTCGTAGCTTGGAGCTCAGCGAGGCGTGAAATGCGTGAGAAAAAAGTGAAGGGTGAACCATGAAACGATGAAGGCTGTTTCAAGGTGACTGACGATCGAGATGGCGTCATCAATAGTGACGTAACGCGATAATGACGTAATGTAAGCTAAAAACAGACAAACACAAACAAACAGGCGATGAAGGGCTTGACTGGGTTTCGTGGCTCAGTGTTCATGGCCGCACGACACCATGGACAGTGACGTCACCACCGTGTGTCGCGGCGATCGTGGTGTGGCCGCTGTGGCGTAAGGAAATAGCCGTGCTGGCCCTGCTGTGACTGAAACCATTTTCCTTCCCACAGAGTGACTGAGGAACCTGTGGTTTGTCGGCGGAGTGCCTCGCTGTTTGCTGGCCGAGGCACGGGCTGAGACACGCCCTGTCTGTGGTGTGAGACACGCCCTGTCTGCGAGCTGAGACATACCACATCGAAGCTCGATAGCCACGTCGACCACAGACGCCAGGTCGGCCTGTGGCGCCGCCCGAGTCGATCTCATCGCCACCATGGATTGCACCAAGTGTGTAAAGAAGGTAAGACGACGCCCAGCCAGCGTAGTGATCCTAAAACAGCACTCAGCCGTCGCATCATTTCATGGCCGCGACTGCTTTGCTTGGGTGGGTTCGGATCAATGCATCATTAGGTGAACCAGATTACCTTTTTTCATGAATCCCGTAAACCGTGCGTTCCCACCTGCTGCGGTATTTACACAGCTCAGACGGGAGCGCACACTGCACCTACATATACAGCTGGCTGCTCAGCGTTGATAGAGGTCATTGCCCTCGGCTGCCGTCCGGTCCCTCCTCTCCTACCGTCCGCCCCAGCACGGCGCGGCCGGTCGTACCCCGCTATAAACTGCAGCACCTTCACAGCTAATGGCTGCTCTGCCCATTGTCCGCCGTCACGGGCCGTGCTAAATCCTGGCGCCGACCGAACCGGCTCCTGCCTGACGGCGATTTCCTGTTCACTTCATAGTCTTTGTTTGCCTTACGAACTCCATTCCCTGTCGAGCCGTTGCATGGCCAGCCCACTGCCGCGTCTTATTTACTTTCCCTGGACATCCTTGGCCACGTTAGGCACACTTGTCGGGCGTGTCGGTATCCCGTTAGGCACGGCACGTTAGCTGATCTTCTAGTAACGCCCGGTGTTTGGTTACACCGTGGTTCTGTGTAAGTCAAGAGCTATCCGTGCTGTGATGCTGAGCGGAATAGAGATGCAAACCCTTGCTGAGAAGCTAGTTTTCACCGTCCATTTTCAGTCATTGTGCCATGCAGTGTCCAATCTTATCTGACCTGTTTTTATTATTTGACCGACAGGTAAAGCACCAACGTGACCTGCGGGTCAAGATGGTGACCTCTCCAAAGAAGACGAGTCAGGTTGTTCGGTTCACCGAAGGAGTCAGTGCCGAGGAGCTCACTCAGCCCGGGTAAGTTTCTTGAGGGGGAGTCTGAGGAGCTGCCCTGCTTGATTCAAATGTCAAAGATGACCAATGACCATACCCGAATGAGACGCTGGGGAGGCCTGGATGTTAGCACGGATTGCCCTCTCATTCAGTCTGGGCTAGTTGTCAAGTGGAGGGATCACTTATCACTGGGTGAGTTACTAAGGGAATTTGAGCCGTCCAATTGTCAGGAAGCTGACCCAGCTGGGATGAGTTGTCAGAGGAGACTCACCAGGCCCTGTCGGGTCAAAGAGGTCCCCTAACCCCGATCAGTTGTCAGAGAGGCCACCATGCACCCCGGCTCTGTCCGTCCATCTGCCCTCGATGCAAGCTGCCACCCCACCTGCGTATGCATGCATTCGCATTTCGCGGTCACTATCGCGTATGAATAAGTGGCTGACAGTCTGTCGGTCCACCTGAACACCTGGCCTTTGGGACTGACTATCCTCAGAGGTAGTCAGTAGTACTGGCCTGTCCGGCAGCCCCGGCTGGTTAACATATTAACATGAACGAGTGCAGCGCTTCAGATAGGATCAAGAGGATTAAGAGGGCCGGGTGCAGGCGTCCTGGGCAGGTATGTACTGCAGGGACATTGCTATACCCGGTAGCGACGAGAGCCGGCTGGAGTAACGAGACACGGCCGGTACCGCAGTGTGTATAAACAAACATCAGAGACCACTTCGTCGAAGGAAAATGATAACAGCCTTGGCGTTCTTGGTTGTGAGCAAGCGGAAAGAGGCAAAGAAAGAAGCCAGATACTTTGACTTACTGGTGACGACATATATATTTTTACAAGCACAGCGTCAAACCCTTTTTTATATGACGTTATTTGCTTCAGGCATCTGTAAGGAAATATAGGTTCGCAGAACCTGCCAAATCAAGCAAGTCACAGCCGTAGCGCATGTTTATGTACCGACGTTACGCAGTCTTTACCACAAACAGCCAGTGTCCCGGGCGCCTCGACGGAAGCGGGCCCGACTGGTGTCCCCAAACTCCCTGTTTGTAACACCGGACGGTGATGTAACGGAGGGGGGAGGGTAGTTTTCGCCTCACACCAACTCGGTCTGAGCCGCTCAAAACCGGAGGTGTATGAAGGTCTACACCCAACATGCGCCGAGTGCGGGCGCGCCGCCGCCGCCGCCGCGTCCGGCTTGGAATGTCCACATGATCAGGCTTATACGCGGAAGCCCGGAATGAGCTCCATTTAAAACGCTGTCTCCGCCAGAGTCCAACCCTCCGATTCTCCCAGCCCAGCCTGGACCCGGATACAGAGGGTGGTCGAGTGACACGTATAAGGCACGGAACGCGGTCGTACTGTCATCAATTAGGGCTTAGTTTCAGTCACTGAGATGGGGCGGCACAATTCCATCTGGCTAGCTAGCACGTAGTGTACTCACAAATAGCTGACCGCCTCCTACACGGTAAAAGCTCGCGACCTTTGGAACTTTGCGCCATGAATAATGCATGGGTCTAACTAAGTAATAGACCGGACCAACCGCATGTTAGAGGTGGATAAAGTCACACCAGGGATGCTTCTAACTGTGGCAAGACAGGCAATACCATTCGTTTTCGAGTCAGAACTGCTCAAAAGACCCGGATGAAGTCTATCAATACATAAACTCTGTCCATTCTTCTATTTCGCCTCGCACTCGACTCAATTTGGGCCGAGCGGTATTGCGGCACAGCATACGTGCAGGCGTTCGATGGCAGTGCCATCTAGGGGCTAAACTATGAAATATTAGACTAAGGTACGAACTACGAACACCGAACGGGTAATGCCGATGAATTATTGCTGATTGTGTTCGCTTCTTTTAATAGATCTAACCTTTTACAACTTACGGAGACTTCGGTACCTATAGATAATAAAGGAGCTTTTTTATTGGGATCGGTTGCGACATACTTTTACTGATAAGACAAGAGTTGAGGGATTCTATTCAATATCTAGATCAGTGAGAGTGATTTTTTTTTGCTGAAGCTAAAGAAAAGAATCTTTCATAACTTGGCTGAAGCACCACTCTAAAAGCAAGAAGTAAGCCGTCTGACCCGACCAATTTGCCGTTAGGTGCCCTACCAGAGGCCATCTTGAAACGCTTCTCAGACGCAGACCCTTCATTGATTTGTCAAATAATTAAATAACTTACTAAACATTTGGTCGTGCATAGCAACCAGGCTGCGGGATAGAAGGCAGCTGGGACTGCCGGCAAAATCAAAAGTCGGGTTCAGGATGTTCCACAGTTGTAATGATTCGGCCGGATCATTTATCCAATGGAAACTACTGTGGACAAATTGCTCGAACTTCATCTAGCATGCCAAGCCTCATTTTTCTGCAGCAGCCTGCAGCCTGCACTCCATCAGCTCCGACCTTCCTAGCATCCGTATCTGCCCAGAGCCTTATAAAGTCCCCCGGCCACCACGGTCGCCGTTCCCCGCACCACATGTTTCTGACAACTCTGGCAGTGTCTGCCACCCGCCGGGCCGGGCCTCCGACTGTATACCCAGCAGCGCGTGACCCCCCCCCCCTCCCCCGTCGACGTCGGCACCGGTCGACGGGATCGACCTGGCGGCAGCTCTCCGCAGCACGAGCGGGCGGTGTCATCTGCAGGCCTCGCCCACTCCCGTGTATCTGCTGTAATACACCACTGAACGGTGCTGAGGTCGTACCAAATCAACGATACAAAGCGCTGAGGCTATGCAGAACCTCGCTGAGACTATGCAGAACCTGAGCCGAACCAATCAGCGGTACATGGACTGAGTCTATGCCGAACCCGAGAAGAGCGATGCTTCACCGGTCTGAGGTCGTGTCGAACCCGATCCTCACCGTGTATCACGCGCGGAAACTGAGACATGAACTAAGCCCGTGATCAGGCTGGAACCTAGGGTCAGACGTGCACATTGGCCCGGATCAAATGAGCATGGGGTAGGTGCGGTATGCAGTGTTGAGGGTCCAAGTTCAGCCTCTTCGGTGCTTAGCTCGGGTCCGGAGTGAGGTGCAGGGCTCGGCAGTTGGCCTTTGCCTCGTATTAATAAAACAGTTGGGGTCGATTCGCGGGCAAGGAGCATTACATACATTACCCAGTCAATATCTGATCGTTTGGAATCGCCTGATAGTTCTGGCCGTCTCTTAGTCTGAGGACAAAATATTGGTCTGCAACCGACCGACCCCGAGGACATATATATAAAGGATTAGCCTGCAACCAATAGACCGTGGGACACCACCAGATGTACTCCATCTTCACAGACCGACGACGGTTCGGTATTGGGGACTCACTGAAACCACGAGACTCCCTAGTCTCTCCGGACCCGTCCCCGCTGACCCCACGGCCGCAGCGCCGGCGGCGCGGCGGTCAGTCGGCTGACCACGTGACCTCGTTCATTGAGCGCCCTGAGGCGGTGTGGGTGGCGCGGGGGGCGACTTGGACCGGGCAGCCACTGCGCCCGCCGCGTGGGGCGGAGCTCCCACCAGGACAGCAGCACTCGGATGTGGCGATCCCGCTGAGTCGACCGCACATGTCCGGTGACGCCTGAAGCCGGCGTCTGTAGCGGTCCCGGGTCAGCAGGCGCCTGATTGCCGGACCTGAGTCACGGAGCAAGGACAGCTGCACTGACTGCCCTCTCGACTCCCCGCGACGGCGGTGTCTCGGGGTCGTCCTGCAGAGTAACGTCGGCAGGACGTGACGCCCTGTGACGTCGTGACGTGGCGGTGACGCGGCGTGGCGTGATGTCTGGCCACGTGGCCGTCACGCCGACGGTCGGTGTCGGCGGGTCGGTATATTGACCGTGGCCCTCGGCCGTTCGTGGTATTCACGGCCAGTGTTCGTGATGTGAGTTCACGGACCAGAGCTCGGGCCGGGAGGTGCCGACGGCTGACCGTGGGGCGTCGGAATAGACACGGCATGGGCTAATTAACTGATAGGGTCGAACTGAAACAGAGCTGAATTGTTAAGGAGGATTGGGATAAAAATAGGACCAAATGGCCCGATCTCACAGCACGTCAGAATAACAAATGGAAACGGGATAACATGTTTTCAGAGTAGGTATGGAAGGCTTTATGAATGCAGTAAGTGTATTAAGTTTAATTTCAAATTTCAATGTTTTGTTTTGTAGTTTCAGTGATGCTTTTCGATGCTAAGTGATGCTTTCCGCGATGCGAGTCGGATGGACTTCGCTCAGGCGGTGTCAGGTCGCTGCCGCCGGGGCCAAGCTGTGTCCGGGCAGGCGGTGAGTCAGTGAGCGAGATGGACTGACGGTGTGAGGGTGCGCGCTGAGGAATACAGAATCTACAAGCTATTTCGGCAATCATGGCGAACTTCGACTTGAAACTTATCCCGGAGTATGATGGCACTAGTGACTTTTCGTGTTGGTATGAGAAGGTGGAACTGGTGTGTGGCCTGCAAAAACCGGCAGTGGACTTGGCCGTGGTGGTGCCGTTGAGACTGACAGGGGGTGCCTCGGCTGTTTATCGCCAACTGAGTGAAGCCGACAAGGCGGACGCAGGGGAAGTGAAGGCGGCTTTGCAGCGTGCGTTTGCAGTTGACAAGTTCAAAGCCTACGAAGAGTTCCGAGATCGCCAGCTGCGGGTCGACGAGTCCGTCGATGTGTTTCTGGCGGACCTACAAAGACTGTCGTCGATCTTCGGAGGCATTAACGAAGAGGGATTGAGCTGCGCATTTGTGGCAGGACTGCCCGAGTCCGTGCGGCACGCTCTCCAGACAGGCGCCCGCATGGAGTCCCTGTCTCTGTCGGAGATGGTGGACCGGGCCCGTGCTATCCTCTGTCGAGATGGCGTTCTGGGGGTAGCTGCAGCGGCAGACCACCGCGGTCCGCGCCGTCAGGAAGCCACCGTTTGCTATGCGTGCGGACAGCCCAACCACTTGGCCCGCGATTGTCTTCGTGGTCGAGGTGGCCGTGGACGTCGAGGTGGTTTGGGCGGAAGCAGGCTCTGCTTCCGGTGCAGCCGACCCGGCCACGTGGCAGCTAACTGCCCGGAAAACGGCGGCGGAGAGGTGGCCTCAGCGCCAGCCTCCTCTCCGGCTCACCAGTGAGTGGCGCTCTGCCGACCACGCGCCTGTCGGTGGACGGAGTGATGTGTCGAGCCCTCGTGGATACCGGATGCACCGTGAGCGTCGCGCACTCCTCCGTTTGCCGCCGCTGGTCTGCGGAGCGAATCAACGTTGTGACACTGAGTGGAGAACGATACGCATGCGAAGGCAGAGGTTACGTGTCAGTGCAGACCATGTTTGGTGCTCGAGTTGAGTTGGAAGTGCTGGTGTCTGCTAGAAAGCCTTTGAACTTTTCATTCATTCTGGGAATGAACGGTGTGACTGCTCTGCAGGGCGTGTTCGTTAGTGCATCCAGTGAAGTGAACTTTGGAGTGGACTCAGCTGTGCCGGCCGCTCCAGTTGCAGCGGCTGCCAGTGGCGTCTCGGATGGAGCAGCCTCATCGCTGCATCCGGGCTGCAATGAGACGGCGGCGCAACCCGAACCGACACCGACCGACCTGCACCCGGACCGGGCACCAGTTGTGGATGCACCAGATTATGCCGTGTACTTTGATCCGACATCTAAGGCGTGGAGAATGAAATGGAAGTGGACTGACGGAGCAGAGCCGGAGTGCTTGCAGAACACTGTCGCACAGTACAGGGTGCCGTGTGACGCTCGCCGTGAATTTGACGATGAACTCAAACGTTGGGTGGAGCAGGGCTGGCTTATTCCCTACAACGAGTCAGAGCTTGGCCCACCAAAGGGTCTGGTGCCTTTAATGGCAGTCCAACAAAAGAACAAATCGAAAGTGAGACCTGTGCTTGACTATCGTGAACTGAACAACTACTTGACAGCTCACACAGCTGACGCAGACGTCTGTGCGGACCAACTGAGGAAGTGGCGACGACATGGCGAAAACGTTGCGGTCGTAGATCTACGTCACGCGTATTTGCAGATTCAGGTTGACCGCCAGCTGTGGCCGTTTCAGACGGTGATGATCGAAAACCAGAGACATTGTTTGACACGGCTCGGTTATGGATTGTGCGTGGCTCCGCTCGTCATGAAGGCGGTGATTCGGACGGTTCTGGAACGTGACGCGGACGTAAACCGGGCAGTGCTTCCGTACGTGGACGATCTGCTGGTGAACGAGGACATTGTTAGCGCAGAGCGAGTGGTGGCTCATCTGGCGAACTTTGGTCTCGAGTGCAAGCCTCCAGAGCGGGCGGCAGGCGGTGCGCGTCTGCTCGGTCTGCGAGTCTCACGGGAGCTTGGCAGGCTGGTGTGGAGCAGAGACAACCCAGTCGGACCACCACCGGCTGTGCTCACGCGCCGTGGAGTGTTCTCGTGGTGCGGACGCCTGATCGCTCACATGCCCGTGTGTGGTTGGCTCCGCCCTGCCGTGGCCTGGCTGAAACGACGCGTGAATGACGTCACACAAGGATGGGATGACATCACCTACGACGGAGTTCTGCAGAAGCAGATTAGTCATGTCATGGCTCGGGTAGCCAGTCACGATCCGGCACACGGTCTGTGGAGCGTGCGGAGCGACCGCGCTGTGGTTTGGGTGGATGCGAGCTCCGTAGCAGCGGGTGTGGTGGTGGAGTCACCTGACGGTGACGTCATTGAAGACGGATGCTGGCTGAGGAAGGATGAATCCACACACATAAATGTTGCGGAGCTAAATGCGGCCGTGAGAGGCATCAACGTGGCCGTCGCTTGGGACATGCGTGTCATCGATCTGCGCACGGACTCGGTCACAGTGCACCGTTGGATCAACGATGCATTGAGCGGCCGCACTCGGCTGCGCACCAAGGCACACGGAGAGATGTTGATCAGACGCAGGGTCGACATGATTCGACAGCTGGTGGATGAGCTCGAGCTGTCGCTGTCTGTAACTCTAGTGCGGAGCGCAGCGAATCGAGCAGACGAGCTGACCCGAGTGCCGAAAGACTGGGTGCGTGATGAGTCATCGCCTGCAGCTACTGAGACAATGGCCGGCTGCGAGGCTGCGGCCAATGGGCTGGCATTGCCTAACTCTGATGACGATTCATCGGGTTCGGCAGTACTGAGAGGAGGCGATCAAGTCGCAGCTGCAGGTGGTAGCAGCGCTGAGGTGGATCGGATGACGCCGCGGGGAGACTCGGCCGGCGCGGCAGAGGACCGGACGGAGGATCAGCTTGCACCAGGAGGCTCTGCTGATATTGCGGAGGCCATCGCAGGAGGGGTTCCGGACAAAAAGTCAAATGCTAAAAGGTAAAAGGATGATTAGTCAACAGACATTACGTCAAAAGCAAGAAGTCAAAAATCTTAAAAGTCAACAGGTAAAAGGTCAACAAAGAGGGAAGTCAAAAGACAAAAAGTCAAAACGGACTAAAAGTCAAAAGATAAAAAGTGAAATTGCCAAAAAGTCAACGAACAAAAAGTCAACTAGCATAGAAGTCAAAAGACAAAAAGTCAAATGGACATAAGGTCAAAAGACAAAAAGTAAAAACGGCAAAAAGTCAAATTGCCAAAAAGTAAAAAGGACAAAAGTCGAAAGACAAAAAGTGAACAGGACATAAAGTCAAAATCCAAAAAACCAAAAGGACAGAAAGTCAAAAGGACAAAAAGTCAAAAAACAACAAGTCAACCGGGCATGAAGTCAACATAAAAAGTCAAAAGGACAAAAAGTCAAAATCCAAAAAGTCAAAAGGGACAATAAGTTAAAAGGACATAAAGTCAAAATCAAAAAGTCAAAAGGTCAAAAAGTCAAAAAGACATATCGTCAAAGTTCAAAACGTCAAAAGGACAAAAAGTCAAAAGGTCAAAAAGTCAAAAGGACAAAAAGTGAAGAGGACTAAAGTCAAAAGACGAAAAGTCAAAAACTCAAAACTCCATCAGAGCCAGACACGGCCCGCCCCGTTCACTGATCTCATCTACCTGCCCTGTATAACGCGACCACTGCCACCGGGCACCGACCGCAGGCCACCCACGTCAGGAGCAAACAGCGAAAACCTGAACGGCTCGAACCAGGGCTCGAGCCGCGTTTTCACTATCGGTCGGCCTTGGAGAGGGCCGCTCTTCCACTGAGCTACTGGGGCGGGCATCTTTAACCTCGGATTTTTTTTTTTTTTGAATTGTAGTTTCTACGTTTTTATGCTTCCCGTGTGTACATTAACCCTCGCCCTGGCAGGGGGGGGGGGTTGATGCAACCCCCCCCTAAGGTTTTTCGAAGATAGCGTAAAAACGGCGGCGCGCAGCGCCGCCAAATTTGGCACAGCCTATGGGGCAACCTTTTTACAATGACCTGAAAATTTCAAGTCCGGGTGACGTTGGGTCAGGTCACCAGGTCAGAAAAACCGGTACAAGGTCATGGTTAAATTTCAATTTTCTTTTTGCACCTGTCCAACTCACAGTTTTGGACTGATTTCCTTCAAACTTTCAGAGTGTGCTAAGTTCACCGAGTTGTATAACATATAGTTCGGGTTTTTTGAGGTCACTGACCTGAGGTCAATTAGAGGTCATTACGTCGTAATGTTAAGCCTATGGGAAAATACTAAATTCGGAAAATAGGGGAGAACGGGGTCAATTGTAACATTTTTTGCATTTTATCATCTGGTGCAAACACGTTTGCAGTTATAAAGCTCTTTCTTTTATTTTCAGAAACTATGATGTTTTGTCTTTAAAATGCAGTTAAAACATTTCCGAAATAACTTCTTTTTCGGGTCAAAATTGTTGTTCGAAAAAGTCAATTCAGCTGTTACAATTCACCCCAGATACGGGGTCAAAAGTAACACCACCCGGGGACAATTGTAACATGTTAATTTACAGGCTACAGCAACACAATTTTTTCCAAAACTTTGATTTAACAAAAGTATTGAACACTTGTTCATCTTCCCAGACTTGATAAGGACGGTTCTTCTCAGGAAAAAAGGCTTAAAACCTCGCACTTATACAGGGGTTGGATGGACCTCCTCTCCCTTGGTTTTTCGCAAATAAATCGCGTAAAAAGCTGCCGATTGCGACAAAACTTACAGTTCTCTTAATTCTAGCAATGTTTCATCTCCCTTGAAAATTTGACGACTTTGACATAATGGCCACTGACCTATAACCTGTTACATTTGACCCCAGCAAAAATGTTACAATTGTCCCCGTCGCGTCTTGACATATTTTAGACGAAACTGGCGCAAAAAGATGTTGCATGTACAGCATTTAATGCTTTCAATTTATCGACAACAAGCCTGCCAACGCATACACAAAGTCTAAAGTCGATATCTTTTCAATGACGGGAATGAGCTAATCAAATATAACGGAATGAAAATTTACAAAATGCTCTCAAAAACACATTACTGTGCACAGCCATCGACATACCCGGCACTTTCGCTTCAAACTCCGTTGGGAAAGGCAGTATAGAATAACGCATTTTCAGTCTGAACATCAGCTCATTCTATTGGTAAGCTTATGAATTATTAGCATTGTTACAATTGCCCCGTGTTACATTTGACCCCGCTCTCCCCTACTAGAGATATCCGCTTCGTTCTATCACTTTTGTGCTTTGAAACCATAGTAATTAACAGCAGGTCACTTGGTGCTCCTTTGTTTGGTGTACTTATCCATGGGTCAGGTCAAATGAGGTCAACTGAGGTCAAATGACGTTTTTGCCGATAACTTGGCACATAATGACGCTAGAGCTTCAAAAATGGTGTCATTGTGTTCCTGGTGATCAGCCGAATCGAATGATATGCGATATGATGCAATTTGGTTAACTTGAACTTAGTTAATTAATTTAAGTTTACTTGAAAATTAAGAAAAACTTTAAGTATACTTAAGCAAGCAAAAAAGTACATCATTCGACGCGCCTTGACGTGCTGAGTTCACTGGTGCCTTTCTTTTTCTCTATCTTAATTAGATCAAAAGTTATATGCGAAAAACTTTTGACCTGTTTTTAGCAAAATTTTTACATTTATACCCCCTCAAAAACCCCCTAAATATTGATCTAGAGCAACCAAATTTGCACAGGAGCGAGAACTCCAGGGGGCCCACCTACCGGCCAAATTTGGTGTTTCTAGGTGCCATAGGAGCCAATCGCGAGGGGGGTCGCATCAACCCCCCCTGCCAGGCCGATGAAAAATGCCCTGCCAGGGCGAGGGTTAAAAAATCAATGACCTATATATTTTTACTTTACTATACTGTCGATGCCATTGCTGCCATAAAAATTAATAAAATAAGCAAATCAATAAATAAAAATTAGAAAACGTTATATACAGAGAACACACAAAACCATGTATTATTAAAACACATTTTGCCGATAACAATGTCGGGCGAACAATGGCACGAACAGAACAGTAGGCACGTAGTCTTTGGGAGCTGCTCCCAGTGCCTCGCGTTGGCACAACAAATGTTTTAATCTTGGCTGTGATGAAGTGCATCATGCACTTTTTTAACGGAATGCATTGACAACGGCAATGCCCATATCAGAATCGGGGTGCAAGCGCATGTACTGTATCACAACTTCGATGAAAACACCCACGCTTATCACTCTGCAGTCTGCACCACGCTGCCACTCAGCTTACATTGTGTAGTTGTGAGCGACAGCCCGCAGAAACTCAAGTGTTGTCAAGTGCCCTCCGTCCCTTCGGTCCACCAGCCTCGTCAGCCTCTCGGCCAGCTTGGCCCACTGGGGCTTTTGGTTGCGCGGGAGCGCCCCGGCCACCACCCGGTCAATCTCACCCCGCCAGTGGTCCTCCTCCTGACGCAGCCGTTGCAGGAGGCGGTAGATGTTGGGACTCGCACAGTCCACCACACCCCTAAACCTCCTGTGCCAGCCTTCGATGTTGTTCGTCGTTCTTGCCAGTCCCGCCGCCGTTCTATCGTGCTGATTCCATAGTTCCGGCTTGAATGTTGCTCGACGCCCCTCATCAGCATCTCCGACGTATGTGGCGTTGAAGTATGCTGTCAATGGTAGAGTTTCTGGTGGTAGGATCCCCAGCAGGAACATGAAACTGTCCGGGACTTCAGCGGCCGGCAGGAATGCGAGCGCAGGGATGGTGCGGACCTGAAGGTAAGACAATGTTCAGAAGCACGAATGCACTAACTTGTCTTGCGGCCTCATTTTACATTCACTTTGCTGACATTTATGTTTTTTTACCATAGTAAACAAGATACTGATAGTTCTAAAAAAAAACTACCATGTGGAGCAGTAATGTTAACGTTTTCATAACGAATTCAATGTCAGGTTAAAACCAGATCGACTAAGCTGACGATCAGGATAAATTTAGCTAAAATAGACTTCGCATGAGAAATCACGAGACGAACAAAAATAAGCCTAATGACGTCATTTTCTATCATAACTGTGCACATGGAATTTTTATTTAGATTTATCAATGTCAATCAATGTCAACGTCATATGCATTGCAAAATCATTTTAACCCTCGCCGGCACAGGGGGGTGATGCAACCCCCCTAAGGTTTTTCGCAAATAATTCGCGTAAAAAGCGGCCGATCGCGACGAAACTTTCAGTACCCTCGCATTGATCAAATTTACACCTACCCTGAAAATTTCATGACCCTGACCCCAATGACCTTTGACCTGTGACCTACTTTCCGAGACCATGTTTGGCCGGAATCGCGACTCGGCGTATGTCGGCTCGCATTAGCCGCGTGTTTGCAAGCTTTTCGTGGTTTAAAAACGTTCAAACATGTGATTTGATGTTGCTCCCATGCATTAGAGTGGATGTCAAGGTCACCTGAAGGTCAGGTCAGGTCATTGACCTTTGGTGACCTCGGTTCACTTTTTCCAGTTTTATATGTTTTTAAGCTAGTTTTTGGAGCTGATTTCGAATTTAGCAACCATTTGAACGTTTATGAAGTAGTTTTGGTGGCTTCGTAACATGTTACGAAGCTGTTAGGGGCGGTTGGCACGTATTACGAATACCCGTCACGACCCCTACCGGTTGACCTGACCTGACCTGACCCGACCTGATCTAAATGCTTAAAGACATCATCTCTGATCAAAAATAACACGATATTCGTGATCAGCACCACGGAAAACCTCATAGCAGCCACACTTTACGACATTCTAACAGGTCCCGATTTTCCCGATTTTCGGGTCATTGACCTGACCTGGAAGGTCACCCGATGACCTAGGACCTTAAAATTGGATGTCATAGGCTTCCTCTCGTGACGGGCAACACGCTCGTTTTTTTCCGCGAAGCTCTAAATGAGGTAATGCACAAATAAATCTGAGAATCTGAGAATCTAGCTCGATCAGGGGTCAAACGCGAGGGGGGTCGTACCAACCCCCCCCCCCCTTGTGCCGTCGAAGGACGCAAAATGGCCTGTGCCGGTGAGGGTTAATGAAGAAAACGAGCGAGGTGAGGGGGTGTGTTGAGAGATCATGAACAAAGTTGATGTCAGAAAGCTAAAATGAAGGTATCCCACCATAAGAGCGAAGTCAGCATCTGTTGCGTACAGACGTGCGAGGCCGAGCTCTTGTGTCTTGCGCCACACCGCCTGGCTGAAGTGAAAAAAGCATAGCGACCGTTCCTTTTCGGGGAACACTTCTTCAAACGCCTGCAGCGCCGCCATCTCCAAATCTGTGATGACCGTTCCTGTCAGGTCAGTGCCGGGGTATCTCAGCAGAAGCCTCTCGCGGAGCGCCAGAAACATCCTCACGTATGTGTTACGGGACTTGTTCGGCAGCAGCGCGTACGCGCAGGGAACGATCCTGTCGTGGACTGTGGCATGTACTGTGTATAGCTGCGTGAAGATACCAGGAGCCACCTGAAACGTGCCATCTGCTCCCCAGTGGGGGGACTGCGATAGGTTACGGAGACCCCAGTCACTAGCAAAGATGAGCATGCGTGGTCCTGGTTCGTCTCTGCTGTCGTAGATCAAAAAGTTCTCTGGCGGGCATCCTGGTCGTCCAATCGTGAAGCAATCGTCTTCTCTCAGCTCCAACTCATCTGCCGTCAGAGGCTGGGCAGGAGTACCGTGCGCTTGGGTGCGATAGCGCCTGACGTTTCGCCTGCTGTCAGCTGCCTTCGGCATGTCTGTACGTGCTGCGCGACTCATGCCCATCTCAGCCTCGACACATATAACCGAAATAGGCTCAACTGTTTCCATTGCACGCTTCTTCATCTCAGCCCTCGCCTTTGCCCGTTCTATGATAGAAGGATTTGGCGCATGTGAGTGGCTTTTTGTTGGGGTGACCACGCCGTTTTCCACCACCGCTCTTCCCTTGCAGCTTTTCGACGTTTTCTGGCTGCACTTCATGTAAATCGTGTCACCCCTGGCGCTATCTTGCGTGTAGAAGTATCCCTCATGGCTGATTCTTCTCTTCTTCGTACCCTCTATGACCTCCATCTCAGGAGGCGACGGATGACAGAGAACTGCAACAAAACGGAACACCATTTATTATTATAACGTAAGGATGTATTATTAATGCTGTAAAAAGTTTTCACAAAAAAAAATCTGACCTCGTGTGACATTGGGTGAGCTCAATGCCAATGGTAGGCAGGTTAAGTTTGTAGGTCATGAAGCGCAAATGGGTCTTAATTATAGATTTTGACTCGCTCCTGTGGGAGGACACGGGAATGCGGGGTCGGGGACTCCCCGGGCCGGCGCCTGAGCGAGCAGGTGGCCGACGACGGCGGGGTTTCCCCTGCCCGGCTCGCGGCCGACTGCGCCAGTCACGCGGCGCCGGGGCGGCAGCTGGCCGACTGCGCCGCGAATCCCACCAACCGGCCGCCGATTAGCATCAAGGAAGGGCAGTGCGGGCCGCGGAGTGGTGACAGGGAACGACTATGAATTAGACGTTAGAACAGGTAGGCGCTACTTAAGCGAACGAACGAATAAATAGAGAAAAGAATAGATAATAGGCAAGCGCCACAAATTTAAACGCACGAGCGCACCTCCGAAACGGAAGAAAATTAAAATTTACATATTTAATTGGCTGTGGAGAGTGGAGTAGCAGATTAAATATCCGAGATATAACACTGAAATAAAAATATCGCTATTTTTAAAAAGTCGCCGTGACGTCACAAGCAAGTTATTCGCGATTATCTTGGCTTCTAGATGTCCGACCGACAGGGGACAGACATCAAATCCATCCCAATTTGTATGGCCAATCCAATTTAGCCATGCGATAAATACTTAAACGATTAGAGTTCGTTTTTTTTTTTAGTTTGCCCCTCACTGTAACGTCTTTTTGAACACAGCACGAGAATTGCTAGCTGAATTACTGAGAAAACTGGTTGGCGCACATTGTATTGGAGATATGAATAATATTCTCAAAATCAGTTTTGAACACCAACGATGTAACGTTAATGTTAAACGCCGTGCAATTTGTTTATTAGTTCGGACATAATTCTTGAGAAGTCGTCTATCACTGTGGGGCTGTAGGTATGGGCAAATACGAGCTATGAGTCTGTGAAATAATAAGTAAATTTGATGAAACTGATCGCCTGTGAAATCTGGTGAAATCAATGTGCGCCAACCAGTTTTCTCAGTAATTCAGGTCGCAATTCTCGTGCTGTGTTCAAAAAGACGTTTACAGTGAGGGGCAAACTTAAAAAAAGAGCGAACTATAGGTAGAACACGAAAACCAGAAACCGATTCGCGAGAACGATGGGCTACGGACGAGTACTAATTAGTATTTATTTGCCACATGCCACGTAGTTAAACAAGTACCAAGCATGTATTAAGTGCTATGGCAAGTAATAAGTACTAAAGTAAGTTTCAATTGCTTGGCAAATGAATCGAAATACTTTGGCAAGTACCAAAAGTACATTAGCAAGTAACACTCACCTCACTCTCCACCACCTCTCTCCACGACCGGCCGCTCAGTCACCACACGCCTTCCTCCTGCGCGCCCGCTTAGTCGGCTGAGTACTGACCAGTGGGTCAGCCCACGCCCACCGCTGTCACTGCCGGCCGGCCGACTGAACGGCAACTGCATGACCCATGTCGCACCCACCCACCCCCACCCCACCCGCCACCGTCTCCCGTTTCCGGCCATCTTCTGTGTCTCTGCCTTGCCTGCCCCCAGAGCGGGATCTCGAAGCGTGGGAACGTTGAGCGTCTGGCCGCCGCCATTATTTCGCCGGGTGCGGCAGCGGCAGATCTATTCCATGGATTATATGCATGTTTATACTTTTTGAAATCGTCGTGTCATTCTACATCCATCAGTCTTCGTCCCATCTCGATGCGACTTTTCGTTCTAATGTTTTATCTCGTGGCGTTTACACTTTCCCCGCCCTCACCCCCTCACCCCTACGTCGAGCTCGGATCGCATTCCAATTTCCAATGCGTCTCGGCCGCCGCCGCCGCTCAGGCAGGGAATTCCCACGTCAGGCGGCCGGGCATAATTCTGCACCGTGTAACGGGAGATTCGTCGTGTTGTTTACATGCATGTGTATACTTTTTGGAATCGCCAAAGTATTCTGCATCCACCAGTTCTGATCCCATTTCGCTGTGACGTCTGGTTCAATTGTGTAGGGAGACGTTTCTCATCAATTGATTCCGTCACGGGTTCTATAAGCGATTTCACACTTCCCCCTGCTGGAGGAATCGAAATCGGAAATCTACCAACATAATTTCATAGATTCATACATAGGCGCGGGAACTGGGGGAGGGGGCAGTGGGGGAAGCTTGCCCCCACAGCTCTGCGGCCGTGGGGGCGGTGCCCCACAACTTTTCATGAGGCCAGGAACTGTTGGTCAGCTTGTCCTCCCCAAAAACGTGGGTCACAATATAACGGAAGAAAGCATGAAAGTGAAAAATCAACCTCTTTCACTGTCTCCGCAACTCATTTGGCAGATCAAAACCTTTATTCTAGGTTGCCAAAACGGCAGTTTCTTCACTCAGCTGAGACGGAATATCTCACTTTTTTGCAAAGATTTTCGTTTTTGTTTCGTTGAAAAGGCCAAGGTCTGAAAACTAAGTGGCCTAAAACCGATGAGAAAACTAGATTTGGGGGTAACCTAGGTTTATCTCCATTATGGTTCGCCCCCCCCCCCCCCAGTCTGGAAGAAGTTTCCGCGCCACTGATCGAGATGCGATTGCTAAAAATACAATTTTCTTAGGACCTCGAAGCTGTGACTTCCAAAGAGAGGTGACAAGTATAGCGCATTGTGGCCACCAGTTACTGCCTCTCTCCTTCATCTTCGCCTCCACCCTACGTATCCTTAACGGAACTGCCCCCCCCCCCTCCCCTGCCACCAGCAGGCACATTACGCCAACTTTATATAGATAAGTTCACATTCCCAATATACTTTATAAAGCAAATTTAAAATAGGTAGGAGCGTTCTTATCTGTAGGGTCGGGGCGCGCACGGGGACGCGCCGAGACGCGCTATGCGGTGCAGCCGGCGCCCAACGGGTGGCGGCCGGGGATCAGGTGGCCCGGGGTGGGTCAGTCGCCGACCGGAGACGCGGGCTGCGGAGTGCTTGTACCGACTTAAGTTAAGGACTGCTGTTAAGGACTACTTTTTGCTGTTGACTACTTTTTGCGCACCTATTAATTATTTGCGTGTTTACTTTTTGCTTGTTGACTTTTTGTGTGTTGACTTTTAGCGTGTTGACTTTTAGCGTGTTGACTTTTAGCGTGTTGACTTTTAAGCATGTTGACTTTTAGTGTGTTGACTTTTAGCATGTTGACCTTTCGCGTGTTGACTTTTAGCGTGTTGACTTTAAGTAGGTATGTTGACTTTTCGTGTGTTGACTTTTGGTCTGTTGACTTTTAGCGTGTTGACTTTTAAGCATGTTTACTTTTAGCCTGTTGACTTTAAGCGTGTTGACTTTTAGCGTGTTGACTTTTAGCGTGTTGACTTTTAGCGTGTTGACTTTTAGGCGTGTTGACTTTTAGCGTCTTGACTTTTTGCGTGTTGACTTTTTGCGCGTTGACATTTTGCGTGTTGACTTTATGCGTGTTGACTTTTAGCCTGTTGACTTTTAGCGCGTTGACTTTTTGACATGTCGGCTTTTTGTCTCTTCGACATTATGTCTTTTGACTTCTTGCGTGTTGACTTTTAGCTTGTTGACTTCTGGCGTGTTGACTTTTTGGCAGGTTGACTTTTTGTTCATTTGACATTTTGTCCTTTGACTTCTTGCGATGTTGACTTTTTGTCTGTTGACTTAATGTCCTTTGACTTTTTATCCGTTTACTTTTAACGTTTTGACTTTTCATCCGGGAATCTCGCAGGAGTGCATGACCGCGCCGGACATCCCGGGGTTCGTCGGACACTGTACTTTGCACGGCGTGACATTTCAAAGGACGTGACGCGAGCTCAAGTGCAAAATGTGGTGAGCCAGTGTGACGCATGCCGCTCAATCGATCCGGCGCCAATGAAGTGGAGGCATGGCTCGTTGGAAGTGTCTGACGTATGGAAGCGACTGGCAATTGATGTAACGCACTACCGGGGCCAGTCGTTTCTCTCGGTTGTGGACTGTGGACCCTCGCGGTTCTGTCTGTGGCGACACCTGAGTCGTCCGGACGCTGATGTCACGATCGCTCAGCTCGAACAGATCTTCTTCGAGCGCGGGGCACCTGAGGAGCTGCTTTGTGATAATGACACCATCTTTCGCAGTCGGAGTTTTGCGGCTTTTGCAGCGAGGTGGGGCGTGCGTCTTCGATTTAGGGCGGTTCATGAGCCGGCTGGCAATTCGATAGTTGAGCGGAACCATCGCACGATCAAGGTCATTGCTGCGCGAAAACAATGCTCGGTGGCCGAGGCAGTCCACCTGTACAATGTAACGCCGCGCGAGGGTGGATCTGCACCCGCGAGTGTCGTGTTCCGGTACAATGTGAGGGACAATGTGCGGCCCGCTGCTGCACCGCCGGCGCCCAACCCCGTACCAATGAACAGTGAGGCAGCCGCGTATCGTGTTGGCGACCCTGTCTGGGTACGTCGTCGGGGAACTCGGTGTGTTGATGCGTCGCGTCCCGGCACGGTGTCTGATGTCGTTTCTGAGCAGGTCGTAGAAGTCGATGGAGTGCCGTGGCACGTGAGAAATTTACGCCGACGGAATGCCGCCGTCGAGGAGGGGCCCGTTAGTGAGGGCGACAGTGAGGGAGAGAGGGACGGTGAGAGTCTGGTCATTACCGTGCCGGTGGTGAATGATGCGGGCTCAGAGGGGAACAGTGGGCCGGAAGTCGTGGAGGGAGAGTCAGCTGAGATTGTGGGCGAGGAGGAGCGACAGATTCCACGTAGAAGCGAGCGGGAACGTAGACAGGCCCAGTATTTCCAATCGATGGGGTGATCCTTTGAGAGCAAGGGTGGAGTGTAGTTTCAGTGATGCTTTTCGATGCTAAGTGATGCTTTCCGCGATGCGAGTCGGATGGACTTCGCTCAGGCGGTGTCAGGTCGCTGCCGCCGGGGCCAAGCTGTGTCCGGGCAGGCGGTGAGTCAGTGAGCGAGATGGACTGACGGTGTGAGGGTGCGCGCTGAGGAATACAGAATCTACATGTTTTTATGTTCTTTTGCATGCTTCTACGCAAACTTGTACCTACAGGTAATCAGTCATCCACAACAAATGGTCGCCCAATGCCTCTTCACTCTTGTATTGCACCACACTCACCTGCTATTTTTTGCCAATATTTCCTGATAAAATTGCAGCTGGTTTCCATTGGATCGGGGTCAGGAAGCACAACATTCATCGCAAATATGGTGCGATGCCACTCACCAGCTCATTTAAACGCCATCACTCTCAACACCGTGGTATGACGTGTTTAAGATACCGTGTGGTGGTTGGGTGTTGTTTGGGCATACAGTGCCCTCCCACGATGATTGAAGAAAAGGCACCCGGTACGAATTGCACTTGTTTTTCTATTGATTCGAGGTAGACAGCGTGGCGAGTTGAGAAGCGCACAGCACGACGGTCGGTGTTAGACTCCCCCGGGGGTCGTGCGTGACCCATCTTTTATACATCGCGTTACACAACCTTTGAACTATGCTCAAAGCGAGTGCAAACTTGCACGGCAGCGGAGAGGGGACAGAAGGCGCCAGCTTGGCGGCCTACGTGCCTTAAAGCGACATGCATTTAATTTACAGATGCGCGCGCGTACCGCCGGACGTCTGCTCCCGGCCCCGCCCCGCACAATGCCTCATTACTCATTTTGAGTCTAGACGGGGCGGCGGCGGCGCCGCAGTGGCACGGCGGTCACGATGCCTGCCGGTCGGCCATCACACGGCGGCACAGCGCGACGGTGGCGCGGGTTGGTCTGACAGCTCGGTGACACTGTTCATCTACTAACACTTTTGTCGGTGACATCTATACCGGAGGGTAATAAGTCGGATAATATCAAACACAATGCTGCTGAGCAGGAGGGGCGGCGGACGATCGGCTGATCATGTGTCATGGCATCACGAAAGTAATTAGAGCGGGTAATATTTAACATCACATCACCACAAATACTCCCCTCCTTTCAAGCGGAGCGTCCAAGGGGTGGATTAAATACTATTTATAATAAAACACACGCGGCGCGGGGGCGAAATGTACTCGAGGGCGCGGGGCGCACGGAGGGGCGTTCAGAACGCGCGAGGGCTGCGGCACTGGCTCAGGGCTGGCGGGTCGGTCTTCGGGATCATCTGGAGGCGGTCGATCTGCGGTGTCGTCAGGTAGCGGTTGGTCTGCGGTGTCTGGCGTCGGCGGCTCGTCGTTAGCGGCGGCTGCTCCCTTGGCAGCGGCTGGGAAGACGGCGGGCTTCAAACGCTCGATGGACACGACGTCAGTTTGTCCAGTTGGCAGTTTCACGCGGAACCATTTTGGGTTGCGTTGGACGACAGCCATCGGGCCGGTGTACGGCGCGGAGAGCGGTCGTTTGACGCGGTCCACGCGTACCCAGACATGAGTACAGGTGGCGAGTTCTGCTGGCAGGTACGTTGATCGCTCGGCGTGGTGGCAACCCTCAGAGAGTGCGGTGAAATCGATCTGGGTCATATGGCGGGCGAGCTGGCGGACATAGTGATGGGTGGATTCGGGATTTTGCTGGTCGATGGCGATCTTTGGGAAAAGGAGTTGGGTTCCGGTCACGGCGGTAAATGGGGACACGTCGTTTTCATTGGGGATGGTCCGAAGGCTGAGCAGAATGACTGGCAGGGCTTGTATCCAGGTGTCTTTTCGTGCCACAATGGCGGTTTTCAGCGTGCGGTGGAGACGTTCCACCATTCCATTGGCTTGCGGGTGGTAGGCAGTAGTGCGGATGCGATGGAATCCCATGAGGGCTGAGAGATGAGTGAAAAGCTCGCTCTCGAACTGGGAACCGCGGTCAGTCACGACTTCGAGAGGAACTCCAAAACGGCTGACCCAAGTCTCCATGAAGGCGTCGGCGATACTGGCTGCGTCGATCCGTATAAGCGGGATGGCTTCGATCCAGCGGGTAGCACGGTCAATGCACGTCAGGATGTAGCGTTGTGGCGCAGAGTAGCTCTGGTCTCGGTTGAAGGAGGGCGGTAGTGGTCCAACGATGTCAATATGGACGGTCTCGAAGCGGTTGCTGGCTTGGTCGAAGGTCTGGAAGGGCGCCTTGGTGTGGCGGTGGACTTTTGCTTCTTGGCAGCGTTGACACTCCCTGACCCACTGGCGAATTTGGCGTTGCATGTCGGGCCAAAAATAGCGTTGGGTCAGGAGCTTGAGAGTGGCTTTGACGCCGGGGTGGGAGAGGTTGTGGAAGCGGTCGTAGATGGGGCGACGGCAGGCGTCAGGGAGGAATGGTCGAGGTTTTGCCGTTGATGTGTCACAGAGGAGTGTTTTGCCGTCTGGGAGTGGGTATAGCGAGAGGCGGTCCAGGTACTCGACTACTTCTTGGTCTTCGCTTTGTTTCTCTGCGATGGCGTTCAGGTCATAGGCTTCGACGGTGATGGCGTGGATAGGTCGGCTGAAGAAGTCGGCGACGACGTTGTCCACTCCGCGGAGGTATTCGACGTCGGAGACGTACTCCAGCACGACGCTCCAGTGGCGTTGTTGGCGGTCGGTTTTTGCTCGATGTTGACTGCGGGAGGCCGAAACTAGCGGCTTATGATCAGTGACTAGGGTGACGTGGCGGCCTTCCAGGAGGTGCTTGAAGTGCAGTACGGCGAGATAGGCGGCGAGCAGCTCACGGTCGTACGCGGAGTATTTTGACTGGGCTTGGCTCAGTTTCCGGGAGAAGAAGGCGATTGGGACCGGCTGCTCTTCGATGATTTGGTGGAGGACGGCACCGGCTGCCACAGCGGAACAGTCGGTCGTTAGCTGTAGTGGTTGCAGCCTGGGACTTGGTGAGCGAGCTGGCAGGCGTGTTGAAGGGCAGTCTTCGCAGCGCTAAAAGCGCCGGCCGCAGACTCGCTCCACTCCATGCGGAGGTGTGCTGGCTTGTTTGGCCGCTGGCACCACGGGCGGCTCGTTCTGGCGGCGGTTCCGAAGTAAGTGCACGGCATAACTTGGGCGTTGTCCGTCACTGAAGGGCATCACCCCGAGAGGCAGCTGATTCGGCTGGGCTGAGGAGGGCGTTTGGGTGAGGTTTCTGGGTCGTTCTTCATCCTGTGGGTCTGGTTGGGTCTTGCTGTTACTTGTTGGTTTCTTAGTCGTTCTTCATCCTGTGGGTCTGGTTGGGTCTTGCTGTTACTTGTTGTTTGCGGTTAACAGACAAGTGCGATGGTACCGGGTGATCACGTCGGGGTCACCAATTTGTGGTGGTTGGGTGTTGTTTGGGCATACAGTGCCCTCCCACGATGATTGAAGAAAAGGCACCCGGTACGAATTGCACTTGTTTTTCTATTGATTCGAGGTAGACAGCGTGGCGAGTTGAGAAGCGCACAGCACGACGGTCGGTGTTAGACTCCCCCGGGGGTCGTGCGTGACCCATCTTTTATACATCACGTTACACAACCTTTGAACTATGCTCAAAGCGAGTGCAAACTTGCACGGCAGCGGAGAGGGGACAGAAGGCGCCAGCTTGGCGGCCTACGTGCCTTAAAGCGACATGCATTTAATTTACAGATGCGCGCGCGTACCGCCGGACGTCTGCTCCCGGCCCCGCCCCGCACAATGCCTCATTACTCATTTTGAGTCTAGACGGGGCGGCGGCGGCGCCGCAGTGGCACGGCGGTCACGATGCCTGCCGGTCGGCCATCACACGGCGGCACAGCGCGACGGTGGCGCGGGTTGGTCTGACAGCTCGGTGACACTGTTCATCTACTAACACTTTTGTCGGTGACATCTATACCGGAGGGTAATAAGTCGGATAATATCAAACACAATGCTGCTGAGCAGGAGGGGCGGCGGACGATCGGCTGATCATGTGTCATGGCATCACGAAAGTAATTAGAGCGGGTAATATTTAACATCACATCACCACAACCGCCTACAGCATATTTGCCATAACTCATAGGCGGTATCGTTTTTACGGCCTTGCATTGAAGTGATGATCATTTCATTACATGCGGTGATTGGTCCTATCTCAGGCGACGGATATTCTCTCCCGTTCAGCATGACACTGACACAGGCGCCCAGGGTCAGCCATAACCGTCCCAGCCCCGTCTGCTGGAGTCACGTCGGTAGCGGTGTCGTCGGCGACTCGGAAGCCGCCTGAGGTCCGGGCAGTGGGCCAGCACCCCTGGGGGGCGGCACCCCCTCCCAGGCGCCGACCATCAGTGGAGGCCGGCAGACTGTCACTGAGCGACGCAGGGGAGAGGAGGAGGAGGAGGGGAGAGGAGGGGAGGGGAGAGGGACCGATTGGCACCACCGACTGGTGTGTGTCAACCTGGGCTGTGATGGCGCATGATGTGCAGGTAAATTAACGTCAGAGATACAAAGATGAAAATAAACAGAAAGCGAGGATTGTACGCTAACGAGTTGCAACGAGGAATTAAAAAAAAAATGAAATATCAATTGAAAGTCCGCTATAAGAGGCCGTTGTCAAGTATGTATATTAGGGATGCAGCCAAACGTCATTGTTAACGTGCGAGATCGAATATAGCAATCAAATCAAGACTTACGTTTCTGTATCTGTAGACAAATCACACAAGACAGTAAGATACACACAGCTTTAACTGCGAAATGCGGGTGCCACTCCCGTTTTATCAGCGCGATATGGTGTGGGCATACTTGTGTATACGTCACTTAGGCATGCAAATCAACCTTTGTTTGACATCCTCTGAACCCGTGGTGTACGTTACATATCACTGTAACACACAGGGCGGGTCCTGGGTGCGGCAGTAGGGGAGAGTGGGGCACATTCGTGCATGGGGCACATTCGTTTTCAGCAGTTTATGGGAACACGAGTGACTGCACGAGCTCAAGGTAAATTATGGAAATATGTCTATCATTGCCGCCCTTCGTTCACCGTAGAAGACAACACTGTACCTGCTGTCATGCTTGATAAAAACGCAAATTTGTAATATTCGTGAGCTTTCCAAACTTTTCTCATATCATCCATTTTCGTGATCCTGACTCGGAAATGTGGTTCAGCTTTTCAAAATTGGGGGTGAAGAAGCCCACTCTATTCACGGAACTGCTGCAAACTTGTTTGTTGAAAAAGTGTCATTTTTTCAAAAAGAAATTTTGAAATATATTACTAAGAACGTTGTGGGGCAGGTTCGTGTACGCACTGCCTGGGGGCACATTCGTGCACATTTTTTTTTAGTTTTTGCGATTTATGACTTTATCTGTAGTAGGTTTCTCTAATGACGCTCGCCTGACTCAGTCTCGACTGCTTGCGACGTCGTGACGAGCAATTCACGCGAACTTGGCGAGGTCACGGAGGCCGGCAGTTGGCACATTCTTGTTGGCCAGCCCATTCTTTCTACATTTGTTGTGCAATGCATTCTTGTCGAAAGGAATCAAGTGAAATGACCCCCTGCCAATTTCCTTTGGTAAATTTCTGGTAATGCCCGGTAATTTCTCGAATTTTGCCGGGTGAACGGAAGTGCCCCATCTCTTGAACGAATGTGCCCCATAGGTGGGGCAGTTTCGTGCAAATGTTCAGAGTTAATAAAAGTCATTTTTTCTAATGGAAGCAATAATTTTATAGGATAACTTTTAAAGAGGAAAACTATCTGCAATAGTTCCTTTCCATGCTACAATCAACAATTTTGCCATTGCACTAACCAAAGAACAGATATATGGGTTTATCCATTTTTTGCACGAATGTGCCCCACTCTCCCCTACAGTGATGACGTCAGACTCGGCGACTGATAGACCGCGTTCCGGGCGTGTGCCGCCTGCTGATGTTGTTGACCTTCCTGTTGCAGGCTGAAGACCAATGGTAGCAGCACGGGAGTGAGGATGTTCCATCGCCTGCCGAAGTCGCAGCCGATCAAGATCGAGTTCGATGACCTGACCTACACCGTGGCGGCCTCACGGCGCCGGGGTCAGGTCACCAGAGGTGGGTCACGGTGGTCTGTTAGGGTAGTGGTCAGGTCACCGCACGTGTGTCACAGATAGAGCTGTAGGTCACCGAAAGCGGGTCGTACCAGTTGGGTACTCAATTGCGGGCACAAATCTAATGAATAAGTTATATGTAAATATAAAATGAAATCTAATCCTGTATTTCGTTAACGACAGTGGTACAGTTTTCAATTTTATCTTCATTGTAAGCATTCGATTCAAAGTTATTTGAGAATAGCTAGAGGACGTGATTTTACTAGGAATTGGACCGACTTAACTCGCGCATGACTGGGGTATTTTCCATAACACGAGTGCCTGGGGGGGGGGGGGGGGGGGCTCTCCAGAGCCCCCACTCCTATCTCCGAAATTACTGGGCCGATCGTCAAAATTCAAACGGTGTCTGATAATCCTGAATAAAAACTGTCGAGCGGAGCCTATTTTCATTGACCTCGAGGTCACCGATGACGTCACAGGTCAGGTCAAAGTAAAAACTATCGACATTTTTGCTAGTTCACATTTTAGGCTCTGACCGCCGGCTGACAAGTCCGATCAGGCTCATTTTTGGTTTACGCACTCCTTGATAGATGCCTTAGATACCCTGAGGGTATCGAACTTTTACTTCGAATTTTTAAGGTCAAGGCCAGGTCATCCTAGGTCACGAAAATTGTATATCATGTATCGGTCACGTGACGCATGTTTTATGGTTCATTTTACTCGCAGGTTTCGAAAATAGTGTCGTCTGTGTCACTTGAGGTCATTGTCAGCTGAATTTACCGGAGGTCAGGTCACTTTCAGGTCAGAAAAGGTCAAATTTTGAAAATGATTTTTTTTTTCAATAAAAAAGGTGCCTTTCAGATGCAGTTTGAGCTCAGAAATACGTTGGTGCCATTCATATTGCTGTTCGACGTCAAAAACGTACTGAAAAATGGATTTGAAAAATATATAATTGTAAAATTTTGACAATAATGCGAATAACTTGGCTATTTTTGAAGATATTGGTTTAAAACTTGCAAATGTAGTTTATCAGTGTGTGTTCTATTACACATATTCTGGTTTTTGCGAAAAGTCAAGAACTTTTTGAAAAAAATCAAAAAATATATTTTTTGTAATTGTAAATACATATTTTTTCAAAATGTTCAAGATTTCGAAAATTCGAGGTAGCAGTTTGATAGCTACGTGTATTTGTAGTCCATTCATGCAAATGAAATGGATCTAGCTTTATAACTGAGCTCTTGAGAGCGTTTGCCGTAATTCAGTATTTTGCATCAAAAACGGCCGACATGACGTCACTCTGTCATTTCTGGCCAAAATATGGTAGGTAGAAAGTTGAAATTTTAACGCAAGGTTTCAAATGGATGCCTCTGAGGGTACCGCAAATTTTGTGTTGATCCGTCGAACAGTTTAGAAGATATTGCTGAAAACGGTTATGTCATGTCCCCTCAGTCATGCGTGGGTTAACAGCAGTTATAGGCGTTTAGGATTGGTAAAATAAAAGAGTATGACACAATCATGAGCATTGTCAAAGCGTAGGTGGTATCAGAATGAATACCTAAGCATCGCATCTCAAGATGAAAGCTCATTCCCACATGTGCACCTCGCAGCTGGAATTTACGTCTCATCCAAATGACGTGCAGTGGCTCACAATGACGCCATTAATGTAGGGCAAAAGTAGCGGCAGTGCCTTCGCGGGCTGACAGCCAAGAATATCAGCCCTTGATACCACTGGAACGCCCCATCAACCCCTCCCCTCCCTTCCCTCGTCATCACAAAACTCATGAATGAAGCCCGCCGGAAATCCGCGCCATTGACCGTCCTGCCAGCATCGATCCTTCTGAGAATAACAGAATCAGCAGACAGATACGAGTAAATTGGCTGGGGCTTGAGCATGACCTGACCCTGACCGGACGACAACGACTTGATCCTGGCCAGACCCTGACCTTGACCTGACTCTGACGTGACCTTAACTTGACCATGGCCTGAAACTGACCTGACCGGACCCTCACCTGACCCTGACCTAACATGACCCTGACCTGACTCCGACCAGACCATGACCATGACCATAGCCCTAATACTTATCTTGACCTGACCCCGACCTGACCCTGACCTGACCTGACCTGACTGTAATCTGACCTAAACCCTAATCTGACATGACCTTGACTCCGACCTGTCCCTGACCTCTCCTGACTCTGACCTGTTCATTTCAGAGCGTAAGACCATTCTGGACGGTGTTACGGGCGTGTTTCGGCCGGGTCAGCTGACTGCCATTATGGGACCGTCGGGAGCGGGCAAGTCGACCCTGCTCAACATTCTGGCGGGCTACCGGTAAGTGGGCTGCTCCGGCTGCACTGAGCGGGAACTTCTTGGCCGGGACGGTCAGCTAACTGGGAGAGAACGAGCGAGCCCCGGTGGCTGGGACTAGTGCTTACTTAGCCGGGATGGGCAGCTGGGTGCTAGAGCCCGGAGGAGCGAGCGAGCTCCCGCGGCCGGACGCGGTACCTATCTACTTAGCCGGAATGGCCAGCCAAGCGGTTGGTCAGAGAATGTAAGTACCAGTATGCCAGTATCACAGACCGCAGTAGACGCGTCCCTGTCACACCCATCCACGCCCCTCAAAGCCTCCTCGCTGGCTGAAGTCGGTCGGTGTGTGCTGGGATTCCGGGCGTCTGATTTTCGCGGCCCGGCAGCTATCGGAAATCGATGCGGTATTGTAACGGCGTGGGACCGAGCCGAGTGGCGTGACTGTGATGAGCTCACGGCCGGGTCTTGGTCACGGACTAAAGCAAAAGAGAGAGAGGGGGGAATAATGGGGAGAGAGAGAGAGAGAGAGAGAGAGAGAGAGAGAGAGAGAGAGAGAGAGAGAGAGAGAGAGAGAGAGAGAGAGAGAAAGAGAGGGAGAGAGAGAGGAGAGAGAGAGAGAGAGAAAGAAAGAGAGGGAGAGAGAGAGGAGAGAGAGAGAGAGAGAGAGAGAGAGAGAGAGAGAGAGAGAGAGAGAGAGAGAGAGAGAGAGAGAGAGAGAGAGAGAGAGAGAGAGAGAGAGGACCGGGAAGAGCAGAGGAGGGACGGGCTACTGGAGTAATTACTATTTTTTCTTGCCCGTTTCCGTCCGTTCCAACTTTCAGGCTGCTTAGAACGCACAGTTGCAACGTTCTTACCCCAGGCAGTTATGTGAACGTGTACATCTCCAGTAATATCAGATCATGAACGATGAACTGAGCTCATTTCTCCGTACATACGGCACACATTTCACCCTTTGACCAGTTACCTCCCTCTGCAGGGTCCGGAACGTCGAGGGCTCTATCCGAGTGAACGGTACCGCCAGGAGTCTGCAGACGTTCAGGAAGATTCAGGCGTACATTATGCAGGACGATCACCTTCTGCCCCACCTCAGCGTCGACGAGGCCATGATGGCAGCGGCTAACCTGAAACTGGGTCCCGGCTTCACACACCACGGTCGGCGGCAGGTGGTGAGTAGGGGAGCGGGATGGCGTAGGACGGAGCTAGGGCTGGAATGGACAGGGGGTAGGAGGGAGATCCAGGAGAAGACGGGGCCCATGAGAAGGTATAGTTAGAATAAGGCAGCATATGAGTAAAGTAAGAGGGTGTGACAAGAACATGAGAGAAACTACATCATATCCTGGGTCAATTCAGGGATATGGATGGACAGGGGAGCATAGAAAAGGAGCTATACAGCACAGTAGTCACATCAGGAGCCATGCATCACGAACTAGCCACATCATGATAGGGAAAGCACGGAACATCAGGCTGTATTTACTTTGCCCGTTAACCATTACGCCATGCTCTCTGTGTTGACTGCACTCCTCCCTCTGTCCCCTCTACCCTCCCACATTCCGTGACCTGTCACCATTGGCTCCCTCAGATTGATGACGTCCTGGAGGCTCTCGGCCTCTCCTCGAGCCGCTCCACACGCTGCGTCCGCCTCTCTGGAGGACAGAAGAAGCGTCTCTCCATCGCCCTAGAGCTGCTCAATAACCCACCCGTCATGTTCTTCGATGAACCTACCAGGTGAGTTTCAGCACTGTCTCGTACTCTGTCGCCTGTTCCCCACGTTTAGAGCGTGGCGCATGTCTGTAAAGGCTTCGACTGGTCGGAACGCAGCCGGAAAAACTATCCTGTTACGGACGCATCCGCCACAGTTAGATACGTATGTATGTGCGCAGATCTGCATTGTTCCGAGACATCCGGCACTGCCTAATGACCACTGCTGGCTCGTGGCTGGACATCTCTAAAGGCTAACTTTCATACTTTTACTTTGCAGCTTTACTTTCAGAGGCTACGTTATCAGTCAGACTTGCAGAAATCCGCCCAATACCCTGGTCGGCCGTTGATAACGTTCTGCATGTTTAACCTTGCTTCTATTGGCACTGTGCCAGGATTATTTCAGCGCCGATTTGGTTAAGTCCGGCTGGCACACCGAGCCACTTAGTATAATTCGCTGGAGCTCGGTGCTCGTGCTCATTTCGTTCAACTGCTTGACTCCGGTACCGGCATAAGTGGTACTTTTCTGGGGTCATATACTCGTAGACGTATCCACTTTTGTCTAAATATATCCTGTCAGTAGTCATTTGCTTTTCTTGCCCAGCTGCTCCTCTCTTTAGGACTAACACTGTAACTCGCCGTACACACATCTGTGTCTGTCTGATATTCTAGCGTCTGTCCTGACCGCGGATCTCTCCTGTCTGACCGTTAATTTGCCATGTCTGAACGTACATTTTACATCATCTCTCGCCATCGATCAGTATATTTGCGCTGCGCGGACTGAACGTCGCAGACGTTTGCCCGTGCCTGTGAATCTGTTTTCTTTTTCACTGCGCCAATCAGACTGATTGCCTTGTCTGACCTTTGTTATTTGTTATTACGGAGCGAGCGAAGCGAGCGTAGTCTTTCCTTAGATTAACGGAAATTTCTGAGTATGAGCGGCCGGCCGGCCGGCCGGCCGGCCTGCCGGCCGGCCGGCCGTGGTCACGCTTTTGCGAGGCTTATATCTCAGCAACCACTTGACCGATTTACACGCGGTAATTTTTGTAGGGTAGCTTCATTCCTTCTACCAAGTATTGGACTATTCTTGATGCATGTGGGTGACCCCTTATGCACGTGCCACGTGCAAAACGAAGAGGTGTCCGTTTTGTAATTGTTGCAATATCTCGGTAACTACTTGGCCGATTGCGCTGAAAGTTGGCATGTAGGTAGGCACCCACTAGGCACTGCATATCCATGTGCCAGAGTTGGGGCGCTGCTGCACGTGCGCACGTGCAGGGGTCGTTTCCAGATCTCGAGAACGGCTCGACCGATTGCGCTCAAATTTGGTACACAGTTAGGGACCGGTTAGTAGGGTGCCGTGCACATGTCAGTTGGGACCCACTTTGCACGTGCGCACGTGCAGGGTGCCGCTTCCAGATCTCGAGAACGGCTGGGCCAATTGTGCCCAAATTTGGCACATCGCTAGAGACCGGTTAGTAGGGTGCCGTGCACAAGTCAGTTGGAGGTACCCCTCGCAATTTCGCACGTGCAAGGCCCACCCTCTCGCTCGCTCCGTTAGTCGCCCCAAAAGGCGTTATACTGGTTTTATATTTGAAATTTGATCTTTGTTAGACCGTAAACTTTACCCTGTCAGACTGCAGTTGCAGGGCTTTCCGGTTCACCGTATCGTTTGGTCGCTCCAGTTTGATTTCCGGTCTTCTAATCGCATCAGTCTGAACGTCCTAGTCAGACCGTACCCGTCTACCAATAAATGCAGTCTGACGTCTATCCGTGTGCTCGTCTGCAGTGGCCTGGACTCCAACTCGTGTTCGTCCTGCGTCTCGCTGTTGAAAACTCTGGCTGAGGGCGGCCGGACCATCATCTGCACCATCCACCAGCCGTCCAGCCGGCTGTTCCAGCAGTTCGACCAGCTCTACATCCTGGCCAGGGGCAGCTGCATCTACCGCGGCACACGACCCAACCTGGTGCCGGCCCTGGCGGCTGCCGGGCTCCACTGTCCCGGCTTCCACAATCCAGCAGACTTCGGTGAGAGGCGGGCTCTGGACGGATGGGGTGTGCTGTGGGGGTTAATGATGGTTTACTGGTTGCTTCTGATGTCATCTGTTGGTCTGAGCTGACTTGCTGATTTTGTTAACCGCTTACTTGTGACAGCTTTGTGACTGATTTCTACAATAATATCTACATAGTCTATGACGACTTGAATTGACTTGTGGCTGACAAATGATTTCTCAGCTGACCCTGAGCGGGTCTATCACAGAGCTCCGTCCGTCTCCAAGCCGTCTGTGTTGGCTAGTCAGCTGACCGTACTTACGCCTCCTCCCTGCGATCCAGCCCTGTGTTGACTGCGTCGTTAGACATTAGCGCCGTTTGAGGCCGGATTCCAGCGACTCTGGCGTGCACTTTGGACGGCGAATGGGCTCCACGAGAAACGCCTACAAACACTGTTACACGCGGCGTTAACAGACATCAGAGGCGGACCAGAGACGAAGGGGGAGGGGGTCACCCGTCCTCCGCCCCCGCCAGATGCCGTCAGGGTGGGAGCAGACCCTATTCAGAGCCGGACGAACTAGGGCGAGGCGGGGTCACACGACCAGCAGAGTGGTACCATTACCCACTCTGGCGTCATTGAGTGCAGGGTGCACGACATGGACACAAGGCACGCGGTGACGTCAGAGACCGACGGCTGAGTGCCGGACGACACGGAGCGCACAGTGGGCTCTGTGGGAGAGGGAATGGTGCCACGAGCGCACACTGGACTGAACGCTAAAAAAATGTCGCCGTTTCATTGACACTAGAGTACAACACGAAGCGCACAGTGCACTAAATGGGTGTTCTAATTGCCTAATTGTACCGTTCCTTAGGCATTGGACATACTCGTGCGTCACATAGCGCACACTGACCTGAAGTGTTATGAAGTGAATGAGGACGGAAGGACGACCTCATTTTACCGGACCATAGAAACAACACACAGTGCACAGTTGGGACTAAACCAGTGAATGGATGTCACCGTTTTATCAGTCCAACGTGGGTGAAAATTGTGTCTGTCTGACGGCTCTGTAGACTGTGACTATTCTGCGACCTTGTCTGACCTCTGTGTGATCCCTATCTCTATCCATGTATGATTACTTTATTGACTGTGTATGGCGCCTGCGTGACTCAAGCTAGTGTCACCTCTCTGTAACTTCTGTACAACCCTTTGCAGTGATGGAGGCCGCCAGTGGAGAGTACGGCGATTGGATCACCACTCTGGTGGCCGCCTCACGGAACGGCAAGTCGACACAGTGGACGGCCGCCGACGGCTCCCCGGCGGCACAGCGCTCACTGCAGGACACCTGCCATAGTACAGGTACGGTGCTGACTGCAGGACACCTGCCACAGTACAGGTACGGTGTGGGACGCTGAGGCTCGTCCGGCATAGGGCATGACATTTTTAGCTCTTCATAATCCTTGATCCTGAATTAATTGAGACTGGTTGTCAGCAAAGTCGCTTGTTATTTGGTAGCTCTCATTCTAGGACGGCTCTAGAATGAGAGCCGTCTGTAATGTCTGTAAGCAATCAATATACCGCGGTAGAGATCGGATCAGACATAAACATCGGTGTTCAGCCGGCTGCGCTTGAATTATGTAAAGATATATGAAGTGGTCTATGGCTCAGAGCACCCTTACGTTGATATTTTGTAACCAATGTGTCCTACCCGTCTCTCTGCTCAGATGAGACCCAGCCTGGCGGCACAGACAGTATATCCAACGGCGCTGCTGCTGCCGTGGCGCCCTCTGGAGCCGGGTCCGCCCTGACAGAGCCCGCCAGCGGCGAGCCCTCTGTGGCCGCAGCAGGAGAGCCGGGCAGCAGCAGCCTGCTGCTCGGGGAAGCGGAGACTGGCGCCGTGGTCGTCAGCGGCGCCAGTCAGCGTCTGGACGCCGGCAGGGAGCCGTTCACCACGTCTGCCACGACTCAGTTCTGTGTGCTGCTCAAACGGACGTGCCGCTCCATCATCAGAGACCGGGTGGGTGCAAGGAGGGCGCGGTGGTGGCGGGGTGCCGGTCAGAGGGCGCTGCATGTGCTGTAGTGTGCTCTTTGTCTTCTAGCATGTCGACTAAGTCGTTTGCGTCCAGCTTGCAAGTGCTGTCATTTGTCCCCAGAGTCCTCAAATGCTAAGGCTGACTATTTTTGTTCGACTTGTGTCAAGTGCTATTGTTTGTGCTGTATCCCCAGATGCTCACTGTCCCGTGTCACGTTGCTCATTTTGTGAGTTGATCCCTGTAATTCCTTATGCCTATGTCTGTATCTCGCCTCGCATCGCCCATGTTATGATGCATCTTTCGTATTTTTCCAGATGCTGACCATGTCTCGGCTGGCGTCGCACGTCCTCTTTGGGCTGATGATCGGTAGTCTGTACCTGGGTATCGGCAACGAGGCCAAGTCTGCCTACAACAACGCTGCGCAGCTGTTCTTTGCCGTCATGTTCCTGCTCTTTGGCGCCCTCATGTCCACCATCCTCACATGTAAGTGGTAGGGGAGGCATGGTGGGTGTTGGTGGTCCTCTCACATGTGAGATCAGGGGAGAATTATGCAGAGTTAGGAGAGGTTGCATAAATCAGAATGGTATCAGAATGCAGAGGTTTACCGAACGTCCAGCTTCCATGTGAATGTTCCGGAAGGAATGATTGCAATTCGCAATGCCCTTTTCATTGTTTTATGAACATCAGAATTCGGGGAAAGCTAGGTGTTGTGATTATTGTCAACTGAGTAGTCATCATATGGGCAGTCAATGTTGTTCGGAATAGCTCCCAGCAGTTGCGTCATGTCCGTTTCCAACGAGACAAACCGTAACTCCAGCGTTTGCCATCGTAAGCGCACCACTCTACTGCCCACCGGTCCTCCGCCAGGCTAAGCCGGACCGTCCACTGACAGCGCTAACCCACTCTGTCCTCAGTCCCTCTGGAGATGTCGGTAATGAAGAAGGAGTATATGAACTGCTGGTACTCGGTCAAATCGTACTACCTGGCCAAAACGGTGGCCGACCTACCCTTTCAGGTGCGTCCATTTACCGACAGATTGTATCTTCAGGCCAGTGCACTGGCCACTGTAATGGTGTGCTGGTGAGAATATTATGGACAAGTGCGTAGAAAAGAGGTCCATGGTCGCGTTAACTTCTTTTGTAATAGCACCAACTCGATGCTACTTCAATAATACACCGATACGTTTTACTCTTGAAGATCTCGAATTTATTTTACCTGGCTGCAATAACAATTCGTTCAAGATTGATTAGCCGTGCATGATTTTGTACTTCATTGGCTATTCAGTCTTACTTCTAATAATCCCCATACTTGGTCAGTCAGTGAAGCTCACACACCGCTTTTGTGCCCACAGATCGTCTTCCCACTCATCTATGACGTCATCGTCTACTTTATGACGTCACAACCGATGGAGCTGGACCGGTTCTGCATGTTCTGTCTGATGACCATCCTCACTGCACTGGTGGCTCAGAGCGTCGGTCTCGTGATCGGCGCGTTCTGCGATATACAGGTGCGTTATAAAACATGTAACACATGCGTGGGGAGATGCCAGACGCCAGTTCATTCTTGGATGTAAATAGCTGACTTTGTTTTTATGCGTTTCTGTCCGTCTGAAGGCAAACTGACGGTGTCTGCCTTTCTTACAGCCGGCTGCCAGTGCCTATATGTTTGTCTGATTTCTGAACTTCGGCTGACAGTACTTGCAGATCTATCTGAAAGCCGACTGACGGTGTTTATCTACCTAAATGCTAATCTGTGTATACCAACTGACATATCTTTTATTATAGCCAACTGACGCTGTTTCTCCGTTTGTCTGTTCCTCAGCTGGCCGTGTTTCTGGGACCGATCACGATGATCCCAATCATCCTATTCTCGGGCTTCTTCGTCAACCTGAGCACGGTGCCGGTGTGGTTGTCGTGGCTCTCCTACCTCTCCTACGCGCGTTACAGCTTCGAGGGTCTCATGCTGGCCGTCTACGGCTTCGACCGCGAGGACATGCACTGTTCAGTGCCGTTCTGCCACTACAGGAGTCCCAAGAAGTTCCTCAAGGTGAGCGATGAGCGCTGTTGTGGTATGCGAGAGAGTGGCGTGGATTGAATCAGACGGGAGCGTTTAAAATGTCAGTATTTAATGGATATTGTTACGTATATGAAGTGTCATTATTTTATGGATAACGTTACATATCTGAGGTAACATTAGCGGTTTTGTTGGTGGCTTGTTGTTTGCTTTGCGTATCACTTGGGCTTTCATTGGTTACCCTGTGCTGATCCGTGCTGCACGTATCTTGCCGCCCATATCTACAGTCTCTGCCGCCCCCCCTTTGTAAGTCTTTACTTAGCGTCCAATGTCCAGTACGGTTTACCGAATGCTGCGGTATTAGGTATGCGCCAATAGTTAAATCTGCCGTGTGCCTGCTCTCTATCCCCCGGCCTCCCTTACACATACTGCCACGTCTCCACCTTCCCCTCTGTCTGCGTTTTCCAGGAGCTGGACATGCTGGAGTCGGACTACTGGACGGATGTGCTGGCGCTGAGCGTGATGACCGTGCTGCTCCGGCTGGTCGGCTACTTTGTCCTCCGCTACAAACTGAAGCTGGAGCGGTGATGAGGTCCGTCAGTTAACGGTGGTGGGCCCTTGCGGCCGTCCCCTCCCCATCAGGGGACCCGAGATAGGTGGTCTCGGTCCGCGCCGGCCGGCCGACCGGGGTGGGTGGGACGAGACGGTGTTGAATTACGATCGTCTGCGGGGGACGGGATCTCACGGCCGCCCGCACGCTCCTCCCCACTGGGCGGGGGAGGGGACTCGGCGACCAATCGGCCGGCTGACCGGCGTCCCGTCGTAGTACTGAGAGTAAACAGCATACTTGGCGGCCGGTGGGCAGAGGACATTGGACAGAGCAATCATCCGAACAGCCAATCAGGGCCGCGGCGGGCGTGGCTTCTTATCAGGAGATGAGTGTTCAGCAGCGCCAGCGAGCGAGTGTTCCTGCTGATGACTGGGTCTTGTACAGCTCATAGTTCCAAGTAATATCAAACTCAGCTTGCCGGGACTTTTTCATGGTGCCATCTCGCGGCGTTTTTATCACAGTGATCCGGCGAATGGTCTGCTGAGTGTGGTGCTTCAGCTGTTGAAGCCTGAGCTTGTTGACATGGCCTCTTTTCAGTCCTTGTAAAGATGACAGGGGCGCCCCGGGACGGCGTTTCTTATCGCTCTCATATGGGGCGTCCTGGCTCCACATGTCTGGCCAACGCTCATCTGTCCTTTTTCCCCCTCTCTCTCTCTCTCTCTCTCTCTCTCTCTCTCTCTCTCTCTCTCTCTCTCTCTCTCTCTCTCTCTCTCCCTCCTTCCCTCTCCTCTCCCGTCACTGTGATACTCAAACGCTGGTGGGAAGGATTGACTGCGGCCTCCTTCGAGAAGGTGCGCGTTCATTTTACGGCGTTGACGCGATCTGCGCTCGCGTCAGTCAGCTAAGCGCTGTGTATGTATAGATCATTTATCTGTTATTTCCGCATGATATGAGCCGTGCGGATATTGCTGTTTGGATTTGAATAAGACGTCCCTTCTAAGCGGGACGGAGTTGGATCTAAGGGTGACTCGGTGTGAAAGCCGTTTTTTGCCCCCACACTGTGACGAGCCTTGTATGGGCAAGAGCGTTTGTGATGCCCTCTGTAGGATGTCAGAGCCTGAACTGGAACGACAAAGTCATCCAAGCTATCGTAGAGCTGGTTTGTGATCGGATATGGCGCTAGTTTTGTACCAAGTTACATAGCACGGTACAAATGAAAAAGAACCTGTACGATTCTCTTGGTTTAATGTAGGTTATTTTACAGATGCTTGTACTTCCCTATTGGGACAATAAGTAGGTTTGTGCGTATACCCATATATCGTGATTAGTTCGTTCATTTTCAGCGCGTACGTTTTCATATCGATGCCGAGTGCGAGAAATGTGATCCATTTTCGCTGCTGCATCTGTGTGATTGAGGCTCGAGTGTTCATATGTGTTAATCGTTAATCGCCCGTTTAGTCTTTGTAGCCTGTAGGCACCGTTGAGCAATTCCAAAGGTAGCACCAAATACCGGCGCCGGACGACTGCCGGCATATACATACGGTCGTGAAATAAACATGGAATACCGTAACCTTTGTTTCGCTGTTGGCTGTCGGAATGGTGATACTTAGACTGGACGTGTGGTCTGTCTAAGTGGGGTTACTGGGAGTCCTGAACACGTGCGACCGTGGCCGAATTGTCGCCAGCTGCAGGATGGCCCTTCGCTGGTAACTGACTGCATTGCGGTGCACAGTAACAGGATTGCATAGTGAATCGATACGCACTCGAACATACACATAAACCTGACATTTTACATTACAATAACCTATAGTATTTTAAATAATCTTATATTACACATTAACAGAGTATATTACCCACTTATGTGCATTGTTTCGCACCCACAGCTCACTGGATCAGAAAACACATCGGCAGCTTCGGGTCCTGAAACTGACGCTCCGTTGTGCAGTTCTTTGTGCAGGGGACACTACCAGCCGAATAATTATGCTGTCGGTGGAATGGGCCGAGCGCCGTGTCGCCATAACTGACGCAGTAGCACCCGGCAGTAGGGGAGAGTGGGGTAAGATGCCCAGGGTGGGAAAGACGCCCCACCCCCTCTAGGGGCCAAACAAAGAATCGAACCCGGAAATTAATGTTCTTAGCGTAAAGCGGAAGCCTGCCTTGTTAACTGCACACAAATTTGCGAAGCTCAGTTGGGCAACGGCTGGATGGTGAATGCATGTTTTTTATTTGCTGCTTTCAAAAAATATTTTGGTGTCAAAACATTGTAAATATCAAAGAAGGTAGATAATTTTTGCGCCCCTTGATATAGTCGTGATACATTAACATGCGTGTACTGTGTCCCAAGCAGTTTGTTTCAGGGTGTAGTTTTATGGCTAACAAATTGTACTGATTTAACCCTATTAGTGGCAGGGGGGGTTGTTTTCATCCACCCCTCAGGTTTTTCGGGAATATCTCCGAAACCGCTGAAGCTACGATGCTGAAATTTTCTGACTTTTCCTAAAACTAAATTGGGCACATTCCCTGAAAATTTCAAGTTCATAACTTTACCAAGGGCGGCTCCAGAGCACTGGGAATTGGGGGGTCCTATTCGTGAAGCGAGTCATTTGGGCGATGATCACGATGCTGATGTATTATAACTGTATGCACCAGTTTTATCATGTGATAACATATACAAAGTTATTGTGCATCCTCTTTTGACACGTTTTTGCTATCATAGGCGGATCCAGGCGTCCAAAAAGGGGGGTTATGTTTTACCTCCCAACATAGGTGCCCTGACACCGCCTATGCATGACCAATACAATTGTAGTCGTTCTCTCATAAGAAAATTGTAACATAACAAGACCATTACCACCCTTTTTAGAAACAGTACCAACAAAAACCTTATTTGCTATACTTTTTGTGTACCCCCAATCTCAATGATCTGTATCCGCCTATGATTTTTGAAAATGCATATTTTTAGGATCCATGTGAATTCCTGGTTCATTCTTTATCGATCGGCAAAAGTTGCGTTAAGATTGGTTCAGAAACCTGGCCGTGATAAGCAGTCTAAAATGTATCTGCAATTTGCCCGTTTTTACCCCCCTCAACCCCCCTTTTGACATTTTCTTAATTTTTTTTTTAGAAATGTAGATCACGTTGAGTGAAGTCGAATGCCGTTTGAATTTTGAAAATCGGCCCGTTAGATCTCGAGATATCAAGGGGGGGTCGTAAACAGCCCCCCCCTGCCACTAATAGGGGTAGCCAGGAGCCTGCCACTAATAGGGTTAATGGTACTTCGGTACCTTGGGGTAAGATGCCCCCTGTCCTGATGGGGAAAGACGCCCCCCTAAATCCGTAGGCTGTCCTTCAAGCAGCCCGTCAAATCATTTATTACATGCTTGTGATGAGAGACAAAAGCCGATCTGGGACTATTAAGAGTCCAGTACGGTCGGGTGCTCCCCATGCCGGTCTCTCGGCCCACACAGCGACTTTTTGGGCGGCATCTGACTCTGAGAGCCCTCACGACGGCCTCTGTGGGCCCCATTATTGGCTCCAGGGCCCCTCACGACATCCTTTGAGGGCTCCCACGTTGGCTTCACGGACCGCGCTGGCATCTGAGGTCCTCACGATGGGCTCGAGGGCCCTCAAGCATCATGAAGACCTATAAGGGCCCCACAGTGGTCTCCGAACGCCACCGCGGAGGCTTGTTTGGCCGCGCTGGACTATGATAGCCCTAACGATGACCTCTGAAGCCCCTTACGACCACTTTTGAGGGCCCTTACGATGACATTTGGTGTCTACTGCAGGCTCGAAGGGACTACTGATTCGTTCAGGCGATTCACGTGCCCATTTATGTCACTTATAGTGCAGGGGGCATCTTACCCAACGCCAGGGGGCGTCTTTCCCACCCTGTGGGGTAAGAGGCCCCCTTTCACATCTTCAGGAAAATGCTTGATAGCAAAAAAAGTTATCATATTTCAGGCACAAAAGTGTGATATTTTTGGAGAAAAATGATGTCGGCTTCCGATGAAACTCCAAGTTTTTGCTTTCCGATCGTCATTTTCGAATAATATATGACATAGTAAAACCCTGGGCATCTTTCCCCACTCTCCCCTACACCACTGCTAACAAACTAGAGCCAGAACAGCTACCAGGAAGTTCAGGAAGTTTCTAATGGTCTCGGAGTCTGCCGAAACGTGACGACGTGTGTCTGGAATGGATTTTGATAAAATAATGAATGTTTTAATGCTATGCGATTTGTAATTATTATAAATATTATCAAATCTATCTTTCCGGCTGATACGCCCCTTATTTTGTCCGGGGTGCACATCCAACGCGTCCGAACCGGCCTGGTCCGGCACGCCTCCACCCTCCGGTCTGGATGGTCCCGTACTCCGTATGACCCCAGGCCAGTTACCCCCCCCCCCCTCATCCTGCTGACCCGGCGCCATTCTGGCTGACCCCTCCCCTTCATCTGACCCCCCCCCCATCCAGCTGACCCCTCCACCGGTCCAGCTGGCCCCCCGCCGTCTAGCCGGCTGAGCCGCCCACCACACAGCTGATCGATTGAACCCCTGAAGGCTGACCGTGATCCCCGCGACCGAGAACTGTTGTGGCTTCGACCATCGGCCTGCCGAGGACGGAGGACAGATTATTGCATAAGAGTGCTGGGACTGGGGAGCTGATGCCTATTTAGGCAGACAGACGAACAGATGGACAGACAGACGGACGAACAGACGGACGGACGGACAGGTGCAGACAGACGGACGGACGGACGGACAGGTGCAGACAGACGGACGGACAGACGGACGGACGGACGGACGGATGAACGGAGACGGACAGACGAGCAAACGGACGGACGAACGGACGGATGAACGTACGGACAGATGAGCAGACGGATCTGGGCGGATGGGCGGACGGACTGACCGACCGACTGACCGATAGGCAAACATATAAATAGGCAGATTACTCTAACAGCCACGTACAATTCATTTCTTTGTGCAATTTTTTGGTATTTTTGTTGTTGTTTGTATCATCATTCGTCGCCGTGTTTCTGGAGCTCTCCCAATGTGCGGCGCTGTGGAGCGAAGGGCGAGTCTGATGCACACACCTGTACCCCAGGCGGTCACACCCCTATCATGCGGGTGCGGTGGGGACGACAGGGACCCACCAGAACGACCGCTACAATCGTAACTGTGCTCGTGGCGCGGTGACTGTGGCCATGTTAATCGTCGCGGTGCGGTTCGTTACAGAGTCACAGACGCCAACTAAATAGCCCGCCACCAGTGTTACAGCCCAACACTAATCTTACATTCCACCACCAGTCCAATACACCAGCACCAAGGTCGTGTCTCCACGGCAACAGCCCTAAATTCCAACACCAGCTTAGTGAGCGGGAACCAGCCTCATGTTTCAGTGATAGCGCCCCAAGTTGCGACATTTGGTGGCTATATGGTCAGCCAGCAGGAAAGAGAAACGGTGGTAGACTCCAACCGTTCCGGCGAATAGCATGGAAGACAGTGACGCATTGCAAATTGATCGGCACGACGCGGCAGTCCCTACCACAAAGGCCCACAAAGTCAACAATATCGTAATAACTTATATTTTTGTAACAACCTCCCGCATCTGAAAACAATGAAATTTACCACGTCCTTTTGCATTACGCCGTATACGAAATACATTTATGCGTGTTTCCGTAAGGATTTCTGAAATGTGCGCAGTTGGGCCTGTCTGTCATCGTTGGTCCGTCTGTCTGTTTGGCCGCTGATAATGATGGCAGCACGGCGCGGAGGAGGCTGGGCCGATCATGTTTCGCTCATTAGTAGCTGCATTAGTGTGGCCTGGCTGCCGTTACCGCCAACAAGGTATATCATGCATGGAGGGAGTGTCCCTCCCACAGCGGGGAAGGAGAGGGAGTAACGAATCAGTGATCCGACGCGGGAAAATGTGCAGGCGTGTCAAGGGGAGATGTCGACACACACAAAAGCTGAAATGGTCTTTTAAGTTGAATTTTAAGAAGAGCTTTGGTGTGGTATCAGAGCAGAGGAGACTAGTCATATACTTTAATAACTGGGGCTGATTAGCTCTGTAGCTCATATACACGTAATTGTGATGCATGACTGCGATGAGTCCAGTGAGCTTCAATCTGACGTTTATGAGTAAAGATGCCCTGCATAAGCCGACAAATAGAGGACATGGGCCTCATGCAGCGCAATCCATCACTGTTTACCTCGCAATTGTACAATAGGTCCATATGGTATTATCTGTCCTCTCCACTTCTGTGACACGATGTATGTATGCTGGTATTATACCCAGACGACCGCAAATGCAAACCAAAACCCACAAAATAAATTGTGGCTGAGATTATCTCGAATAGCTTCCATATGATAGTCAGATGGAACAAAACTGCTATAACTGCTGCTATATGCGTCATGAGTCAAACAAAACAAAATAGCAAAAATAGTTCCGATGCTCCAAATGTGTATGTGCACCAGCATCCGTCGACCGCTGCCGCCAATGCGGGTCACCTGGCCCGTCAAACGGCGTCAATTAAGCGGCCGCTCCATGGTGACCTGGGGGCCGTGGAACGGG